CACGCCCTTATTGCTCATGTTAAAGAATCCCCATCCGAGAACAACATGCCTTAAAAAAGGATCAAAAGCTGAGGCAAGGGATGATCGTATAATCCAGTGAATCGCAAAGCCTTTTATATGAAAGAGGGGAAAATGTTCGCATCTTACGTGGCTTTGACTAGGCCCGCCCATTTGTCATATCATTGTTGTCATTTTGCAGGTGAGCTTCGTCTACCTTGACCCTCATCGCGTTGTCAGTGACGAATTCGAGGCTAATCCTTCCGCCCACACCAAGGTATTCATAGGTACGAGGCTGCCAGGGCTTCCACCAGATTTAGAAACAGAGTTGTCGGAAATAAACTCGCCTTGTCGTGATTCTTAGACTTCCCCACGGTCTCATGGAACCAAAAAAAGTTGGCAAAAATTCAAAAAAAAAATTTTCTTTCAAAAAGCGTCTGATATTTTTTTCTAGTGTTTGGAAGTCCGTAAAATAATGAGATGGGGAAAAATTAAGTTTTTATTTTTTAAAACGTTAAAATTTGTTCAAAAAGACCGGCGAAAAAAATAAACTTTTTTTCAGTTTACTGTTTCAAGCAACGCTTTTGCTCTTTCAAATCATGGTTCGAAATTCAATCTATCGAAGTTTCCGGGAAAAATAGCCGTGAAAAAAACCGTCAAACGCGCTCTATTGACAATCTCCGATCGTGACGTCACAAATTAACACTTTCACATCTTTTTTCATTCAACTTCAGTTAGAATCAAGGAAAATAAGAAAAAATTAAGTTTTTTCGCAGATTTGTCAGTGGAGCACACAAGACAAACCAATCGTGGCTATTTTCGAAATAAATGAGCATTTTTAATTTTTCTACAAAGCTTGCAAGATATTCCAAATTTGATTTTCGAACAAAATCTCATAAAAAATCCATTCCAAAAATCATGACAATTGCACTGATTCTTGACTTTTCACCCACGTTGTCAACAATATTTTTCCTTCTATAAATATCTGCCATTCTTTATTAGGTTCCTCAACCTTTGCCGTCTTTTTATAAGATTGAAAGGTCTTCAGTTAAGCCTCAGATTTTCGATCACAACTTCCCTTGTTCAGACCCTCAAACCTTGGGAAAATGATTCTTGTTTTCATGCACCTTGAGTCTTATTGTTGGCTATTTATAAATTGATTCAATATGGTTAACAAAAGGAGTGTAAAATTGAACTTGAGTCTAGCTTGTTATAAGATTTTCTGCAGGAAATAATTTTTAATCTCTTAAAATGGAGTTCAAAGGAAGCAAAGAAGGTTCAAAAAAAAAACTTATGACATTATTTGCAAAAATTCCTCTAGCTTCCTGGAAGTCTCTGATTTCTCTCTACTATTTCTCTCTATTGAACATTTTGAACTTATTTTTTGCGTTCAGAACAACTTTGATAATTTTTGACTGATGGTCGAGGAAAAATTGGGAGAAGTTAGACAGAAAAACTCCTCCAGCTGCTTAGGTGCCTCTACTTTCCCATACCAACTCGCTCCTTTTTCAAAACCTCTAATTTTAGATCTTCTTTGTTTCCACTCCAATCAGATACATTTTTTTATTTTCCCAGCTTCCCGGAACGCTTTTTTATAGTTCCCCAGTTCCGCAATCCGTTTTAAACCACCAAAAAAAAGCCACGTCAAATCTTTCAATTGGAATAAAAAAAGACGTGCAAACGTGGCTTCCTCAACAACATATTTGATCTACTTGTTGTTCTTAGAACTAGAATCATTTTGCAAAGCCTTCCTCATGGAATAAAAATGACTGGAAATAGCCACATGACGGACGAAAAATTTCTAATTTTAGTTCAAAAAGAAATTATTTTTTTAAGATTAGGTTCAGAGGATATTTCAATTTACGTCTATGAAAAAAATGCCTTTTTTTGTCATTTTGCAGGGTCAATGGAAAAGTGGTCGAAAAACAGCCAAAAAAATTCGAATTTTAGCTCAAAAAAATTAATTTTATTCAAAAATTTAGGTCCGGAGAACATTTTCAAATGTTTGGATTAAAAATGGGTTCTTTCTCCCATTCGGAATTACGTTTCAAGATTAAATGAGACGTAGATTTTTGCAATTGAAATGGCTCGTGAATAAGCGGCTTTGCGAATTTTGTTGTAGGTGCCACGTTATCCGGAGAATTGACCTCCCTGACGACAATTCCGTCTTTCTTTTTTGCAGCAAACGTTATTGGGTTTCTGAGAAAGAAGTGAATCTGAGTTCTTCAGATGTTTTGGTTCCTGATAGAGGATGGGAAAAACGGGGGATGGAGTGAAGATTTTCAGTGAAAAAATTCCGATTTCGAAAAAGTGAGAACGGGGAGAGAAATCATTTTATTTTCATATTTCAGTTTCAAAATTGAATTTTGAATGAGCATCATTCTCATTAAAATAGTTAAAGTTCTCGCCGAAAAATCGAAAAAATAATCTAATATAATTAAATAGTCTTTCAAAAAAATTAGCTTATTCTGAAATTTTACGACGTCAGTTTCATGCAGAATTGTTCATAAACCTTCATTTTAACTAGTAAAAATTTAATAAAGATCCTAAGAAAAACATAGATGATCGCTGAAACTGGAAAAAGCCTGTTTTTTTAGAGCTCGAAGTAATTTTAACGAAAAAAACTCGGAAATATAATTTTTTTCCATATGAAAAAAACTATGGGCTGTACCATTTTTCAAGTAAGAATTTACCCAATTTTCTCTGTTGCAAATGGTTCACTTCTCAAGAAATTAAATTCAAAATTCGTATCAACCAAAAAAAAATCTTTACGAGATTATGAAGAGACCTAGAACACAAAAAAACTCAATCAGTTTTTGAAATAATTGAAATAAAGAATTCCATTTCCAACACCAAACTCCTGAGTTCAAACACGCTTTCTAGAAAACATCATTCTCTGGAAGAAAAAAGCATTCTTTGCACTACATATTTCCATCAGCTCACTTGGCTACAAACGCCTTTTTCTTCATCTCTCCCAGATCACGCGAAAGCTACAAAAAACGTAGTCTGGATCATTTTTCAGGTCAGATACCCGGAAAACAGCCGTAAAGTGCGAGAACAATGAACTACAAATGCACCAGATCAACTGGGAAAAAAACCGAAAGGATACAATTTTTCTTAATTTTTTCTTCTTCTCCCGGTGGCTCGGATACTACGTCGTGTGACGTATCGGCTAGGCGAGGTTTTGCTAGTTTCTTGAGATTGAATGATTTTGTGAGGGTTTTGGGAAGCGAGAAGAAAAAAAAAAAAGAAGAAAATCTAGATATCATTAGAGAGAGCCTTCAAAAAAAGATTCAAAAAAAGAGGCTTAAATTATTAGAGCTTCTGCGCTCTATCGATAAAAAAATTTTTATTTCTTTTTTTCTCCGGTTAAACTACGTTTTTTTCATCGTAGACCAGTTTTTTTAAAAAAATTTTTTTAAAAAAAGCAAAAAAATTATCTGAAAGTCTCGGAAGGCACCTAAAAATATCTCCAGAGTGGTCCCTATAGGGGCAACCTTAGGGGCCCTTGTAGAGACCTCTCTAGGGGCCACTTTACCAACCCCTTTAAAGGCCATTAAAGCTTGCCAAAGTGGTCCCTATAGGGGACATGATAGTCGATAATTGTTATAAACTTGAAGCGAAGAAGCATTTCCATAAGAAAAACTGAATAGAAAAGCGTTTTTTGAGTGAAATTGCAAAATCCCTATAGGGACCACTTTTTCGGCCCTATAAGAGTTTTTCAACCCGAATCGCTATAGGGACCACTCTGGAATTTTTTTGAGTACAGAAAAAAATAACTTTTCTGGCGGGAAATTCAGAAAATTTCCCCAAAAAGTCTTAAGCTTCAAAGCGACATTTTTGAAAGTTTCATTGCCTAGAAAAAAAAAATATGAATCGAAAATTGAGACTTTGAATTTTTAAACTCAAATTCATAATTTTCACTTCTAGAAAAAAAAACCTACTGTATTTACAAAAACGGGAAAATTCTCGAAAATCACCTTCAATTCCAAAAATCTCTAAAAAAAAATGTTTTGAAGATAAGAGAAGAAGATCCCAGTAAGGATTGTCTCGAAAAACCCCAATCAACCTAAAACATCGATTTTGAGAGGAAATAAATACCTGCCCACGGGTCCATCCCAAGCGTCTTTTCTCCGGGTGTTATACCCGATAATATCAATGATTCCCAGATTTTCAGGCACCAAACGGAAAAACTCGACTTCCATGTCTTCTAAACATGGAATAAGAAAATAAGAAGCTTCCAATGGAAATGTATGATTCAAATAAGTCATAGAAACACGGTGAGGGTTGAACATCTTCGTATTGCTCATGTTACACAGAATTTAAGGGAAAAGCTCATTTTAATCCTTCAGAATCCTCTTACTAGGGCATGGTCTCCGCTCGACAACGAGTTGAGAATTGAGACTTTGTGGGTGGATAGGCCTAGGTGAGAGTACTCGGAATCAAAAATAAAATTCTGCTAAACCCCACAGGCGGCTAAGGAAAAGCTCGTCGAAATTTTTTCAGCGCTTATATCCCCGCACTCGGAGCCTTCGGCTAGCAACTGGCGGCGTGGTGTAGTGGTTTGTGGTCTTGTGCACGGTCAATATTGGGACCATGGTTCGAATCCTTTTGGCGGAAATCATTTTTGCCGGCTCATAACTTTATTCCTTTCACATTTTTATGAGATTCATTTCCAAAATTTATATCTTTTTCTGTGGGAATTTTCGAAAATCGCCATATCTTCTGACACCTGGAACGCGAAATCGAACGGAAAAGTTTCATTTTTGTTGTTTTATTGTGTTATTGTGTTTCCGTTTAGTACACACTAGAGTTCTCTACTACACACGTGTCTAACATGTAAAAGAAAGGTAATCGCTTTTCGTGAATCGTGCATTTACATAAACACATCGTTTTCTTAATCGTTTGCCCAAAAATAAACTTTTAAGAAAAATATCCCAAAAAAGAGAAAGGAATCAAGTTATGAGCCGGCAAAAATGATTTCCGCCAAAAGGATTCGAACCATGGTCTCAATATTGACAGTGCACAAGACCACAACCCACTACACCACGCCGCCAGTTGCTAGCCGAAGGCTCCGAGTGCGGCCATATACGCGCTGGAAAACTTTCGACGAGTTTCCTCGGTCGCCTGTGGGGTTTAGCAGAATTTCATTTTTGATTCCGAGTACTCTCACCTAGGCCTATCCACCCACAAAGTCTCAATTCTCAACTCGTTGTCGAGCGGAGACCATGCCCTAGTTAGAAGTGTTTCTGAGCATTTGAAAAAAAAACTGAACTTTTTTCATATTAAGCTTGTGAGGTTAGAAAAATTAAGAAATAATGGGTGATTTTGAAAATTCTGAATTTTTAGAGGAATGGAAAAATAGAAATTCAAGTCGGATTGTTGGAAAGGGATCAGAAAAGCTAGGTGAAAATGTAAAAAAAAGAAGAAAAAATCTAGTTTCTTGAGAATTGAGAAACAAAAATCAATTTTCAAGTACTGAATCTAAACTCTTCAATATTCAAGGCAATGTGAAGAGAGAGATATTCCAATATTGAATAGTGAATGTTTCTGAGTCTTGCAACGATACAGTGTTCAATGAAAATTCCGGAAAAAATCAAAAAATATTCCAAACAGAAAAAAAATTCAAGACCAGAATCAACGTTCGGGTGTTCAAAGCCCTCGAAAAGGAGGAAAAGCGTGGAAAAAAGAAACTTGGGGCAAGTAGTTTCTCGCCCACACGTACACACACTCGCCACAGTCGTGCTGGTGTCACGTTTCTCGAGGTGTTGCCGACGTCGGACTGAACCATTTCGACACGAGAAACCCTTCTTCTTCTTGTTTCTGATCTTCGACTTGGTTCGGTTTCAGTCAGCTGGCCCTTTTTCTTGTTCATTTTTCTAGTCGGATAGCACTAAAAACTACGGTAAAGTCTGAAGTGCCAAAAACGCATCAAAAGGTCTTTTGTTTGGACTTTATCGAGGATTTCAAAGAGCTGGGAGACTTTGGGAAGAGGAAGGGCTAAAATGACCAAAGGAATCTTTAAAAGGACACAGAAAATACAACGGAATTTTTTTAGGAACGTTTTTTCGATGTCGGATTGAACCATTTCGACACGAGAAACCCTTTTTCTTCTTCTTTCTGATCTTTGTGTTGGCTAGGTTTCAGTCAGCTGGCCCTTTTCTTTTTCATTTTTCTAGGTAGATGAATTTTTATAATTCTGGAAAAGTCAGAAATGGCAAAAATCCCTTAAAAAGGCCACTGAAAGGACCCTTTTTGCACCTTTTATCAAGCCTTCAATTTCCGCTCGGATTCAAAAAGTTGAGAAAGGAAAAAGGCTCCTAGAAATGCCCAGGAGGGTAACTCAAAGGGCCTAAAAGACAGAAGAATGAAGGAAACAGCCTCTTAGGGTAAAGCTTTTTCTCGAAGTCGGATTGAACCATTTCGACACGAGAAATTCTTTTCATTCATTTTCTTTTTTAAAATTTTTTTGGTTGACATTATTCGGTTCAGTCTGACCTTTTTTGGTATAACTTTCTAGTCGGATAACGCTAATAAACTTTTAGAAAAGTCAAAAATACCCAAAAGAGGCAAGTGGGGCCTTGTGCCAGCCTTTGATAACTTCTCCCAGGGCTTCAAGGGTGGATTTTCAGAACAAGAGAGTAAAAATCATCTACAATGTCTACTTCATCGATCATCTACTGAAGAAATTCTCCATCAACTTCAAAAAACAATGAAAATTTTGAAAACTCGAAAAATGCTTCTCAAGTCCTACGGTAGGTTTACGAAAAAAAAAGAAGAAAAAAAGAGGCTCGGCAACAACTGCAAGTACACTTTCAACACTGTCGGGCTCTTGCAAATCGTTCTTGAAATTTGAGACTTCGCTGAGTCGAAAAACTGTAATAGAGTTCTCTCGTGTGCGACGCATTTTTTTCTAGTTTTCGACATAAAATCTGGAATAAAATGACTTTCCGGTAAATTTCATAGAGTTTAAGGAAGTAGCAGCAAATCTTGATAGTTTGAAATTCGTTTCAAAAAAAAAATAATATTTCAGACCGTCTTTTTTCGCCTTGTAGAGGAAAGTGTTGGAAAACGTTCCTAGTGTGAATTTTAAATAGACACCACAAAACGGGCACTTCGCCTCGAGACCTTTTTGAAACCTGCCTATGTTCCTTTAAAAAAACGACAGCAAATTTGGGCTATATGATCTGTATGGATCGTGCTCCAATAATAAAAACTTCAAAGTCTTTTCAATTTCCTTTTTTTTCACTCATGACTACTTTTTTACTATTTCAAAGTTTGTCCCGAGATTTGACCAATAAAAATTTCAAGTCACTAAGTTTCAAATCAAGAACTTGATCGCGAGTGAATAAGTTATTAGTATGAGGTACTAAAATCTGAACTTTTTCCTAGGTTTTGAAAAGAAAAATAAGCTCAAAGTAGGTTTTTTTGAGTCCATAAAAAAACATGAAATTTGGATGAAATTATTTGAAAGTGGGTAAAAATTTGTCTCAAAGAAAACTTTTTTTATTAGTTTCGCTACTATAAATAAAAAAATAAAAAAAGTACTGTCGACCAAACTACAGACTGTTAAAAATTATTCCCATTCTTTTTTTTTAAATCCAGTTGACTAGAGATTAGGTTCCCCTGATTTCGAACATTTTCTCATCAAACTGTTCACTTGAAACCTCCGGAAAACTGCTAATTCTCCATGTAAAAAAGACGAGTTTTCTCAAACAAAACACAAGAAAAAAGGTTTCCGCTGTTAGGTGCGGAAATTCGAGCCGCGACGACGGCGAAAGCGACACTCGCGACGCTTCAAAACTGAATGAGAAGGAGAAGGAACGGTGTGTGTAGGGATTGTTTGTGAGGACAACAGAAAAAAACAACACTATTTGACTCTTGAGGCGATCAAAATGAGGCTTCGAGAAAAAAAAAATCAAGGAGGCTTCAAAAGGGTCGAAAAGTATATGAGGGAATGTCCGGTGAGAGGGCGTGGCTGTGAAAAAAGGATTACTGTAGATTTAAGCTTCAAAAATGGTCGAAAAATATAGAAAAATGTCCAGACGGTGTTGCTGAGAAAAAAGGGTTACTGTAGGATTTTGAAAAAATTTCTTTTTAACATTGCGATAGAAATAAAGTTTTCAAAAAACAGCTTCAAGAAGGTTTCAAAAATGGTCGAAAAGTATGGAAAAACGTGCACTGAGAGGGCGTGGCTGAGAAAAAAAGATTACTGTAGATTTTAGCCTTAAAAATGGTCGTAAAATATAGAAAAATGTCCAGTGAGTTGAGAAAAATTATTACTGTACAACTTTGAAAAAAAGCAAGATTATTCGACTCTTGAAGTGATCAGAAAACGGCTATGGAGACCGAAAAAAGTTCAAGAAGTGGCTGAGAAAAAAAGGATTAAGGAATGATTTTTTAAAAACCCGACACTATTTGACTCTTGAGGCGAACAAAATGAGGCTTTGAAATTTGAAAAACGGTCAAAAACAAAGAAAAATGTCTGGCGGCGTCAGAGAAAGGCGGGTGTGGCCATTTCTGATGGGAAAGGAATACTGTAGGAATTTCAGATAGGACGCCTCACCGTGTTTTTTCAGCGTTGAAAGGTTGCCGAGGACAGGCGAGATTTCAAAGATTTCCCATTTCGATTGAGGATTTTCACTCGAGATTTGCAATGTGTGGAAAGGTGTCGGCAGAAAAGCTACACTAGACTGTCTTTCGGAACAAAAAGTTTCACTAAAAAACGCAATTTTACCATTTTTCCTGTTTGCATGTTGAAGTTGAAGCTCGGTGATGCTGCGAAAATTTTTATTGACCACTATAGTGGCCGGAATAGTGGCCGCTTAAGTGAATAAAAGTCATTGGACTCCTTATGTGGGAGTCCAAGTGGTACTTCTAGGCCACTGAAAGCTACTGTAGTGGTCACTAAGTTAATGGTTTCTATAGAGGCTTTTGACGTTCTAGTGGTCACTATAGTAGTCGAAATAGTGGCCACTTAAGTGAACAAAAGTTATTGGACTCCTTAAGAGTCTCAGTGGTACTTCTAAGTCACTATAAACTACTGTAGTGACCACTAAGACGCACAATAGTGGCTTCTTAAGAGGTGATTTTAGTGGCCACTTTAGTGTCCTCTTCTTGAGAAACCTCTAGCGGCCACTAGCGTTTTTTCCAGAACATCTATTGTGTTATTCTAAAAAAAAAGCTTGGAAGGGTTTAAAATTTAAAATTTCGGCTTTTTTTTCAAAAGGGAATAGTCCTAATGTTTCCTAAAAGCATTGGAAAAGTAAATTAAGGCCGTTATTTTTTTGATTTTAAACGCAATAAAACTTGGAAATTGAAGATAGAAAAGAAAGGAAACGTTTCGGAAAGTTCAAGAACTTCAAGCCTTTCTTTAGCTTCACAAAAGCGATACCAGCAAAAAACTTCCTGGCTGAAAAAATCTCAAAATTTTCCATAAGCGTCTGAAAGATCCAAAATTTTTTTTTTGAAAAGTGGTTTTTCTTGACCAGAGGGACAAGATACAAACCCTCCAAAAATAAGCTCAATCGGAGACAAAATTTCGGACATTTGATACTTTTTCCACAGGCGTATGGGGCATGTTTTGAGACCGGATTAGAAATCAGCGTGAAAAACTACATGGTCTTATTCAGAAGTCCCACTGTTAGCTGAGACCATTTCCTTGTAAGAAATCAAACTTCCAGACTGTTGGATATTAAACAGTATTTTTTTTTCTCTATCGAATCGGGTCAAAACATGGTTCAGAAGAAATAATGAATAAATAAATTCTAGCTAGCGAGAATCTAAGAAATACTTAGAGATATGATCGAGACATCTTAGAAAACCAAAAATTCATTGCTGGCCGAAAAAAGTTCAGAACCATCCAGACAACGAAACATTTCAAGGCTGTTGAATATTGGGCCAGAAATCGTGCACACTCTTGTGTTCCGAAAGCGTTTTTTTCTATCAAATCGGGCCAAAAAAAGCGTTACCACGGCGTCTGATGGCCATCGCCGATAGCGCGTTGAGGTACCAGGCGTTGCTCATTTTTTGCATTTATTTCCAAAACGCCGCCAAAAACTCCTTCTTTTTTTTCTGCCTTCATTCTTCATGTTGCCTTCTCGGTGAAGTAACCTCACGCTTTGTAACCGTGGAAATTTGATCGCTATCGGCCTTCGACTCGTGAAAATCGGGCAACTCCCTTGGGAAACGAACATTATTTCTATATAAGATCTGGATCATCAGAAATGAAAAAAGAACCCTTGAAAATGTGAAAGAATACATTCAATCTTCAAAATTTGTAGAATGTTTTCTGGAGAAGATATTTTGAGTATTCTTCAAAAAGTATTGGATTAATCATTCTTTTCAAAAAAAAAAAAACCTTTAAGAGTTTTTCTAAAGCTCATACGTCTTGAATTGACCAAAAAAACACTGAAAAATCTCAAAATTCATTTTTTTTTTTAATGAGGATTTTTTAAACAAACTATACGATCTGCAATGACGGTGCTTCGAGGCTTAAATTTTTCGATTTATACAGGATTTTCAAAATTTTTCAGGTTTCCAACTTACAAAAAAGGGTACCTATCTGACTGTACTCAATCAAACCTTTTTCTCATGATACTAAATGGGAAAATGTTTAGTGGCCACTATAGAGGCTCCCCAAGGACTACTTGGAGAGGACACTAAAGTGGCCACTATTTTCCGTTTTAGTGGCCACTTCAGTAGTTTTTCATCCAGTACTCCTTCCAGTAACTCTGATAATTAAAAAAAAACAAATTGGACCAGTTATGTTGGTCCATTGACCCCTAAAGTGGCCACTAAAATTTTTAGTGGTCCAGTAATAGCCCTTAGACCTCTATAGTGGTCACTAATTTTTATTTCCTTAAGTGGCCACTAATTTGACTACTACAGTGGTCACTAAAACGTCAAAAACGCTATAGTGGCAACTAAAAAAATTTTCACAGAAAGTCCTAAATCACAAAACATCAATCCAATCATAAAAATTCGGATGTCAAACAACGTTTATTGTTGTGATTAACGAGACACAAAAAAATATAAAAAAAATCTTCATAAACCTAGAGAAAAAGATTAAATTTCAAACTTCAAAAAGGCTCGAAACGAAACTCAAAAAACTCCTTTCATTACGAAGGTGAGAGCCAAAAGATAACGTAAGGCTTCATTTCAGCTACGTATCTTTTCAAGTAATCTTCATAAAACTCAAGGCTTTCTCGACCTTCAACCTTGGGAAAGGTTACTAAAAGTAATCAGTTTTTAAAATTAGAGATCTTTTCAGGGAAGCCTTGGATGACGTTCAAAAGCATCGGAACAGAGGGAATTACGTCTTTGAAGAAGTTTCAAAACTTTAACTTTTTCAATTTCTGGAACAATTCTTTTTCAACTCTAAAATTCTGACATTTAAAAAAAGGATTTTTTTGAAAAAGTTTATAATTTCTGCTCAATTATTAATATATGAAAGCCTTCTCTATAAAAAAATTTTAAAAAAATTAGCTAATTTTCACTTTCTTTTTCTACAGTCACAAGCCGTCAAAAAGAACCTATTTTTCGATCCCTTTAAATTTTCGGATGACTAATCAAACCTCAAACAACCTTCCATAAATAACCGGACACTGTAAATCAAGGCGTGAACAAAGAGGGAAGAAAAATTGCCCGGGGCAAAGTTTTCTTAGCGATCTTTATCGAGGTTCCCTTATTCTTACAGTTGATTAATTGCCCTTTTTCGGTGTTTTTCCTGGATTACAATCGAATTTTCAATGTTCTGAGTCGAAAATTGAAGGGAAAAAGAAGAAGAGAGGCGAAAATAGATTCTAAAATTGAAATTAGAGCTGGATATATCGGGCTTTTATTTGAAAAAAAAGGTCAAAATCAAGTAAATCTTGAGGAGTTTTCAACTTCTTTCCATTCTTTAAAGAGAAGTTAATTTGGCCTAATATTAAAACATTTATTTAAATAATAATTGACCCAGTAGGTTGTCAAGAAATTAGGAAAAAAGTCAAGAAAAGGTCCTGAAGCGATAAAAGTTCAAAAAAAAAAATACAGTAAGCTGCTTTTTTTATTCAGTGAAAAATCTAACACTATATTGAATATATTCTAACTAATTTTGGAAATTCTAACTACTTTAACCTCTAAAAATTACTGTAAAAGTAACATTCGAAGGGAAAATTATTACAAAAATGACTGAAAATGTGCCGAAATTCGCAGCCAACAACGCGGCAAAAACCGTTTGCCCACCTGTCGCCTTCAATCCGCTAATTTTTCTTCATTTTTGTTCATTTTCCGTCGGAATCAACACCTCCATGTTTGCAAACGGCGTCTGCAATTCAACGCATTAAAAATCTCTCTCAAAAAACTTATTCAGTGCAAAAAAAGTTAATTTTGAAAAAACAGAATCTCCAGCTGATGATGGGTGAACTTAATGGTGAACTGAGAATAAAGATGATGGTCCCTTTTCTCTGGGAAAAATCCTTCAAGAAGTGATATTTCAAAAAAAAAAAACCAAACTTCGGCCCCGAATGAACATAAAATCGAAAAAATTGTCAAAGAAATTGATTAACTGCAAACAAAGAAATCGGGTCTTGGATTCATTCTGAAATGTTAACATAAGTTCCGAAAAGGTTGGATTTGCAAAAAGAGCGTCATATCAAATGTGTATGCCGCAAACACCTTACGTATTTTTGTATTCTAACAAAAGTTGTGGTGCACCCCGCGTCGGACTCTCGTTGCACCCCGCAGTGTAACCAGGGGTGCACCCCGTTTAGCTTCAAATGCCTATTAAGGTACTTTTTCCATACAGGATTTCGAAGTGGTTTGTTTTCCAATATCACAATTTTGTATCGTTTCATCCTAGGTCGTTACGGTAGCTGAAAAAAAAACTTTTTATTTCCGACCGGTTGCCCCAAGGGTTCACCCCATTCAGTTCCAACGCGGGGTGCAGCGCAAACATCAACCAAAAGTTCACTTTTTTCGGGGTTCACTGCGGGGTAAACCCTCATTTTTGTTGGAGTAACAAACCGTTCCCTGAAAAATGAGTTCACAAGAAAATTTTTCCTTAATAAAATAAATAAAATGGTTTCGATGCAACTACTTCCGTTCATTTTGTTTCATTTTCTCAGTTATGCTTTTTGTCATTTTCTCACTCAAGTCATCCATTTTTACTGCCAGAAGCGAAAAATAAACTTTATTTGGAATTAGCACTTCATTTTCTTTTAAAAAGGTTCACTTCGTCGAACGTTTTGATTTCTTCAATATCCTATTCATTTTTTTATGAAGCATCTTTTTTTATTATTCTTGAAAAATAGAATAGAATCAAACTTTATTATCACTCTATAAAAAAAGCACACGAGAAACAAAAAAATGGCATAAATATTCTAAATAAAAATGACAAGTTCGAAATTATCCCTTTCGAACTTTTTTTCATATCCAAGATTTTTTTCTCTGTATCCTTTGCTTCCCATTCTCTGTTCTATGTAATATATAATTTTTTTATTATAATCATTTTTTTCGTTTCAACAAAAAAATAAATTAGCAACACAATAAAGTAGCAAGTTTAAAACTTCATTTTATAGCAGCACTTCTGTCTCCGGAAGCAGGGCATGTAGTCGGGTCCGCATTCACAGTCCGCCGCCTTACTGTAGTCGCATGACGTCACCAGCTTAATCTTCGGTTTCGCTGGAGCGCAAGTGTTGTTACAGCTTTTCTGACAGGCGGGTGAGCACTGTTGGAGGCTATTTTGTAATAAGCACTGGTTTTGGCAAAGACTTTGACATTTTCCGTTGCAATCCGCGGCCTTGGCAATGAGAGGATCGAGAACTATGGTGACGGGTCTCGGGGCCACTGGATAGAAGAAATGGTGGCTGGGCGAAGCTGTAGTCGATGTTGTCGTTGGAGCGAAGAAGTTGGTGAGGAACTTGAAGCGGCCGCAAGCTTCGGAACAGCGAGACAGACATTGTAAAGTACAGACCGGGGCTGGGACGGCCTGGGCCAGACAGCCCTCCTGACACTGCTGCTGGCAGATCGGACCGCAGGCCGGCCCGATTTGCTGGTCGGCGCGCATCTGAATGCCGATGCTGAGGGTCTTTTGCGGATTGCCGACGGCGATGGTCGGTTGCGCTCTGCCGCACTGTTCGAGGCATTGATCGGGGCAGAGGGACTCGCAGTTGGGAGCATCTTGAGTGATGCAGGTCTGTCGACAGTTCCTCTCACAGTTTGGCAGGCAGAGACCGTACTGGACCATGTAGTTGGTCATTGGAGCTGGAGTTGTGGTAGAAGTCGTGGTCGTAGTTGTAGCCAAAGTAGTCGTGGTAGTCGTCGTCGGCGTGGTCGGCGTGGAACATTCGTCCAGACAGCCATTCTGACAGGTGTCCTGACATTCGCCAGAGTCGATCCGATGTTGACATTGCTGCGCGCAACTGAGATCGCAGGCGACATCGCAAGAAGACGTCGGCACGGCGACGTGGTACTCTTCTGGAAGGTCTGCACAGAGGCACGTCACGGGCGGCGGAGTCGTGCAGCTGCATTTCGTTCTGGAGCAGAAGCAGGAACTTTGTTGGATCGTTGCTGTACAGGGACATTCTGGCGTCGAGCGTCGTTTGGAGTGGATCGTCTGAAACAAATATTCAGAAAAACTTGTTCGAAATTGACATTCCTAATATTATCAGCTATGGTCAGCTATAGCCTGTGTACCACGACTTGGAATTTCACCAAAGGACATTCCGCTGTTCCGCTGCCCGCCTTTGCGAACCTTGGTCGCGCTTATAATTTTTTGTTTTCTTTCATCAAGGTACTCTACTTTCCTGTACTCCCACAGCAATAACAATCATCTGAAAAAGTGTCTTAGATTCGAAAGACGCTTCGCGAACGCACGCAGCGGAACAGCGGAATGTCGTTCCGTGAAATTTCATGTCATGGGACATAGGCTATACTGTCACTTGGAAATTCTACTAAAGACTTTTTCAAACTTTCAACTCAAGCCAAAATTTGAGTATTATCATCATTGATCATAGAATTTCGAAATTTAAAATTTTTAAGTTTTTTTTCATGCACAGTAGAGGCTCAGATTCGAATGATACTCTCTTGTGAGTCTTAACATCCTTACTAGGATAATAAGATCCAGAAGTAAGTGCAACAGTAACTTGTTCAGAACACAAAACACGAACCACCCACCGACACAGAAAGAAGAACAAGAAGAAGCCTCCGGATCAGCATGAATCTCTGGAGGAAAAGTCCAAAAATGACGGTCAAATAGCCTCGGCTCCAACATCGCAGAAAACACTTGATTCGTTTTTTCTCCTCCGTTTTTTCCCCATGCATGTTCTCCCCTTGGCGGCAAAACCCTCAATGTCAACAATTGGGGGTCTAACAAAATGGACCGTTTTTTTCTCGCCTTTTTTTTTTATTTGCTTGAGATTTCGGGTTGAGAGGTTAATGGATATGTATTTGCTTTCACATGTATCTTTTTGATCCGTCGCCGGATGGGAATATGCCAAAAAAGGTCGAAGATCCTTTATTTTCAGCAGCTTTTTTTTTTTAGGATGATTGGAGAATTTCTGAAGTGAAAGCTGAAGTTAGAGAGGAACCAAAGAATAAAAATTAAGCCTTATCTTTACAAAAAGACAATTTTTTCCAAAAACTTTGAAAAATCCAGCTGATAGGGAAATGATCCGTTAGGACAGCTCAATCTCCCGGAAAAATTTTTTTAAATTTTTTTAAATTTTTTTCATCTTATTTTGAGCGTTTACCATGCAGTTTTAGGTAATTTGAATTTTTTGCCTTTTTAAAACACTCAGCGATAATTTTAGAAGTCTGAACCTTCCCACAGTGATTTTCAAGATCTTCAAAGGCTCTTATTTCGTTGTAAGTTTTTCTCTTCTTCTTTTTTTTTGAAACCAATTTCAATGCTTCCAAAAAAATCCCATGAGAAAAAACAACTTTATTGAGGCGTTGGTCAGGCGCCAAAGCAATTTTCACAAAGTGTTAAAGTTTTTTTTTAAGCCGCCACCCGTCATTCGAAAGCCGCAAAAGCCAATTTTTGGAAAAATTTCGTCGATTTTACATTGGAATAAACGAAAAAGTTCCATTTTTAGCAGATTCTGCACGACGTGGCGCAGTAGGCTTTGCGTTGGGCGAGAGTGTAGAAGGAGTTGGAGCAGAATCCGTTGGCCGCCCACGAAACGCAGCTGGAAAAAGACCATTTTTGGAAAATCAAGGATAAAAATATTATAATTGCGCCGAGTGAAATCTATTGAGATTGGATGGAAGATCCGAAAATCAATGAAAAATATGCAGAAGCGAGAGAAAAATGGCTTGAAAAGACACCAGAACGTCTCGATTTCCCTGGCGTCTCTTCAGGCTGTCAATGTTTTCTTTCTATTTAAACTGTTTAATGACTTCTTTCAGTCTCTTCTCATCAACTAGACATTTTTTTGAAAAATTTCATCATTTTTTTCTAAATTTTTTTCAATGAAGACGCGTTCAAAAAGGTTTCTCAAAGTCGCAAAATACAGTTGGCATTCGATGAACTTCAAGATAAAGTGTAGACTGTTCTAGTAGTCTTGAAAGTACAATTTTTAATCTCAAAATTTCAAAAATAAAAGTCCGAGTTTCCAAAGTCATTTTTTTCTTTGAAGGCCTTCTTGGTCATTTCTTCATGGCTAGGTTCGAGATCTGTGTAAAAACTGCATTTTTGGTATTGAAAAAAGTCAATTTTCTCCATTTTTATATGTTCAAGCTGCTACTAAGGCTTTCAAGAAATGAATTTCGTTCAGATTTTGTTCATTTTTCTCGGAGGAGCTATTCCACTTCATATGAAAATTCTCCTCTCTCCACAGAAAAACGACCTTTTTTTTAAAATGTGAACTGAAACCAGTAAATCCCGTCCCTTGGAGTCAGAAAAGCATACTTAGGGCTGCTGTTGGCGATGTAAGATGTGCAGGTGCTGCTGGAGAGGCTACTGGCCTTGGTCGTCGAGGCACAGCGTCCGCAGGTTCTTTGGCAGTAGGTCTGCAAAGTAGGACAGTTTCTCAGTAGGTCATGAGGACGGTAAGAATTTCGAAGATCTTTCTCATAGTTTGAGAAATGTAATTTCATCAATCTTATGTTAGAAAAAAGGTCCTCACATTGACGAAACTCTGCAGACCGACGGAGTTGCAGATGCTGATGTCGTTGGCGCAGTCGACGACGGCGTCAACACATCCACCTTCATAGTTTTCAATCATAAAGTGTTCGCATTTTAAAGAAAATACCGGTGTTGCAGAGTCCGCAGGCGGCCGGACAGTTGGCGGCGATGATAGATCTCCAGTTGGGGTCGAGACATTGAGAGTTGGTGATGGTGGCGCAGTTCATGCTGGGGTCTGAAGAGGTGGTATTTTAAGAGGGTTATGTTCGATTTGAAGCAGGAGATACAGTAAAGTTTTTCCGCTACCGTAATCCTAAAAAGGGGCGGAGTCAAAGTTTTATGTGAAATCTTCAGAAGCTTCTATCTATAATGACTTTTAAAGCTTGGGAAAAAGAAAAATTGGAACTGACACTGAGCGTTGGCGCAGCTGTAGGACGGCGTCTGACAGCAGTATCCGCAGGTTCTGGGACAGTTCTTGATCGCCGTGTTCTTCATGTCGTTGTTGATGGGAGCCGGCGTGGCGGTGGTCGTCGTGTAACAGTTGGTCGGGCGGGCGATGTCGTTGCCGGGAGCTGGAAGAGGTCCTCCAGCCGGGGCCGTCGGGTAAAGGGCGTTGCAGGAGTTCTCCGACAGCGTGTTCTGGCAGATCGTCGCCGCGTTCGAGTACACGAACTGCAAGATTTTGATCGGTACTTTTTGGAAGTTGAGTTCTTGTTCAAAAGATAGGCATCTTTATAGGTTTATTTGAAGTTTGGAGAAAAGAATAAGCAAAAGTGGGAACTATTAAAGGAGCATGGCAAAGTTTTGAAAACGTCTCGAGGCAAAGAGCCGTTTTAAGAGTTATTTTCAGTCTTTAAGGTAACTATCGGGATTATTTGGGCACTTTTTGACAGAAATGATTTTTTTTTTCTTCAGGTTTCAACTGCATTCTGTCAACAGAAGATTTTCTAGCTAAGTTTAGCTTTAAAAAGGCATTTTCGTAAGCTCAAAATAGCTATCTTCGATGAAAAAACGGGAATTTTGAATAACGAAAACCGCGAAAATTCTCTGTTACTAGTGAATGAGTGTTCCAAGCTGGATATTCTTCGAATTTCGAAGTTTTCTAGCTTTTTTTTTTCACTTTACGCTTCAAAAGTTTTGAAATTTGTAACAGCATCAGTAGGTATTTTTTGTTTTTTTTTTCTAATTTTCCTTCAAAATTTTGGTTTTTTTTCAACTTCGCGTGTTTCTTTGAATGTCTAAATTAACAATTTCCAGACCGAAATTCATAACTTTTTGAAAAACTCACGGCGGTACCATTGTAAGAGGTACAGTTGAGGTCCCCTCTGATGACCGCCTCCGACGTCTGGACGCTGAAAAGAAGAGCCACCAAGAACAGCATTTCTGAAACGAAAAATTATTTTTTTAATAGCAAAAAACAGGTTTTTTAAAATTAAATTCTGTTTTCTACACCCTAGCCTGAACATCCTATGATTCGAACTTCAGGTTGAAGTTGAAAATCATCGAAAAACAATTGAAATAAAACAAACCCGAGGCGCGGCGGCGGCTGGGACCGAAAAGTGAGGTTCCCAACGACGGTCTCCCATTATAAGGAGTCTTGAGAGCCGAAATTTCGCAATTTGTGCACCTGTTCAAGATATTTCGAATCATGAGGAGCTGTCTACTACGACAGTTGAGTCTACAAGAGTTGCCAAGTTGAAAAATTTCAATAGTGCATTCCGTAATTGTTTGCCGACATGCTTCCGTGTTGGAACAATAGTCTAGTCAAGTAGAGATTTTTTTTTCGGATAAATATTTTTTTTCGCAGGATCTGAAAAATTTGGACCGTATTAAAAATTTTCGAACTTGCTCAATTTAATGGAAAACGAAAAAACAAAGGAAAATATAATGAACCTTCGGGCAAAGGCTTTTATTGCGTGTAGTAACATGAAGTTAGAATTGATTTTTTTTTCAATTTGTGCTTCATTAGTGTATTTTAACAATAAATGAGCCGATTCTTGTCGATTTTATCTGTAGAAACGCGCCAACACAGAATTAAAGGTTATTGTAAACAAAGCGGCGTGTTGTACGCAATCTCCCGCGCTGCGCGCTTTGCCCGCAAACATCCATAAAAAAATATTCCAAATGGCAATTTTTTTCTTTTTATTATTTTCTTATTTTTTTCTATAATTTCTTTATTTTTTTGCAGATTAATAAATGAACTAAGCAGTTGAAACGCGCATAATGGGAGCCAAATCAAAGTCAGTTTCTCTCAAGTTTTCATTTATTCCTCCTATTTTATTGTATTTGTTTAAATCTATTTATTTCAGGTATGTGATCGTACAGTTGGCCAGTGTCATAACTGGAAGCACCCGAGTTTGGGTTCGAGAAAGAGCGGCGGACAAGTTTGCCGGAATTTTCTTTGATCCAGCATGTAAGTTATTTCTCATTTGTTAGATTTTTACTATTAATTTTCATTTTAAGATGGAAAAAGAGTGCCTCTTTGAAGAAGTAAAGCGGATAAAGGGAAAGTCCGAGTTGCCGAAACGAATCCGCGAGGTGTACAATATTACCAATTAGATCTTTTTTTTCTTTATCGTTGAATTTTTTGTTATTTTTGTATGATATTATAAAGCTTTAGGTTTTCAATGGTTTTCTCTTGTTTTAAAAGGTTTTATTCCTTTTCTGCTACTTTTGGATAGGAATGTTGTGGATTTTTTCCGAAAAATTGATATTTTCAGATGGATTTATCAGACCCCACAACAATAGGCATAATAATTGCCGGCGTTGTCGGGATTTTAACGGTTTTGCTGTTGGTATTCAAATTATTCGTTTCTGATAGTAGGGACACAGTTTTAATCGTTGGCCTAAGCGATTCTGGGAAAACTTATGTTTTCTCGAAAATAGCCAATAAAGGTATGACTTTTTTTTTATTTCATGGTTTTTTGAAATTTTTCTGAGGGTTTTGGAGGACCAGAGTACATAGAAAATAACTTTTTTTTTATTAAAATTCCAAACTTTCAGGCGCAAATCCGACCACTTACACTTCAATGCAAGAAAAATGTTCTACAATTGAATGTTAAGGGAAAAAAATCAGAAAGGTAACTAGAACCTAGACGAGAAAAAAATATATTTAAAAATTAAGATTGTCGATTTTCCTGGCAACGATCGCCTTCGCGGAAAAACTCAACGCCAATTATCTAAATGTTTGAAAAATTAGATTTTTAATATTTTCCCAACAAGATTTTAAGAAATCGCTGCTGAAAAATCGTGTTTTTTTGGTCGACTCTTCGACGTTTTTCGAAGAAGGCCCGCGATGTCGCTGAATTGTTTTTACGATATCGCTTTGAATACAACGAAAAAAGTTAGTTTTTTCGCCTTTTTTGGTTGAGAATTCAATGTTTCAGGTTCCGATACTTGTTGCTTGCCATAAACAAGACCTCACTTTGGCGAAATCCGAACAGGTCGGTTTTAAATTAAGTAAAAAAACTTCCAGAGACCTTTTAAAAATATTTAAAAATAGGATGAATGTAAAGAAGAAACGATATTCGAAAAAAATGAAATTTCCAATTTTTCGCTATAAATATTGTACGATTTTCTGAGCCTAGAAACTTTTTTTACTGGAAGTTTTAATTTCGATCTTCTTTTTTTAATTTTTTTATTGGATTAAAAAGTTTTTTTTGCTCTTTTAGATTAACTTTTATCAATCCTAGGAATTCCAGTGTGAGCTCTGTAGGGATTAGGAGAGAATAAACCCCTATAGGGGTCGAAAAAGTGGTCCCTATAGGGGCTTAGAGTCAACAAGCCCCTAAAGCTCAAGCGGACCCTATAGGGGTCTTTCGATTTCCTTTCAAAAGCTTATTTATCCAGTTTTTCACATAGAAATACTTATTCGCTTAGAGTTCATAAAAATATCGACTAGTTCCCTTCAGGGGCCACTAACTGAAACTCCTATAGGAATCTTTTCTGCAAGCTTAAGTGGCCCCTAAAGAGGTTAATAAAGTCGTCCCTAGAGAAGACCCTCCTTTTTCCTACAAAAATATATACCTTTATGTTTTTTTTTTTCAATTGGGTAAAGTTTTCCTTTATTTATTTCTTGTTATAGCCTATTCCGCGCCAGCTTGTCACGTTTTTCGAAAGACCGTATACCAAATTAGATCGAATTTCTGTTTTTATAACGGCAAGAAACAAAGGTCTTGAAGCGAAGTTGGTCAAATTTGACCTGGCCTTTTGGCGGAAAGAAAAACGTGACAAGTTGGCGCGGAATCAGTGATTCTATACACTTTTCCCTCATATTTACCCATTTCCAGGTGATCCGGTCGACTTTGGAAAAGGAAATCGGTTTGGTGAATAAATCGCGATCGGCGGCCCTTAAGGGAACCGACGGAGACGAATCCAGGAATGCCACCCTCACTGAAACGGGAACCGACTTTATTTGGACCGATTTGTCCGGGTTTGTCTCCATTTTGAACTAATCTTTCTTTGTGGAGTTAGGTTATGAAATACAGTCAGAAGTGTATCTTTTACAACACCCAGATGGTCAAAATTCAAAATTTTAATGGGAAAAATGAAATAAGCTCTTTATAACCGCTTTTTTTCTATTTTTTCAAAGGAAAAATTTCATCTTTCCTCGTGAAAGTGAGGTCATGAAAATCAGGCAGAAGTGTATTTTTTTTCTTTTTTAATGTAAAACAAGCTCTTTAAATCGGGTTTTTTTCTATTTTTCACATGGTTAGGACGTTTATTTTCAAGTATTCTGTCATGTATATTACTCTAAAAATTTCTTCGATTTTTTTCACCTAGTTTTTTTTCTTTCTTGCGATTTCATTTTCGCACTCATGAAAAAAATCGAATTCTTGCTACTCCATTCTTTTCAAAAAAGATTCTCAAAGTAATATTTTTTTGATTCGTCAACGAGAAGCTTACACGAAAAATCCTTCTAAAAACTCCCGTCATTTCAAAAAATTATCAAGATTTCCGGGTTTTCCGCCCTTTGACTATCGCGTCTTTTCGGAGAACAAACTCTTTTTCTAGACACTCTCTATTCATTTTTAACCAAGTTGAAATTGAGAATTTCAAAAATCCACAGATAATGAAATCAAACTTGAGTAGACTTCTTTGAAAAAAAATTCTTGAAGCCGAAAACAAGGCGAGAATAATACTTCGAGATTGCTTCTCAGAGGGTCACAAGGGCAAATTTACCTATTTTGTCTCTAGTTTGCTCATCAGGAATCGGAAAAATCATCATTTTTGCACGAATTTCGTTCATGTTTAAATAAACGTATAAATTTTTTTAAACTGCGAAAAAAATCGCATGAGTAAAAAGTGTTGGAAGGAACATTTTCTCTATAAATTTTGGGATTTTTTGAAAAAATCTTTTGATTAAGGTAAAATTGACAGATTGAAGCATCTAAAGGCTTCTTTGGAATTTGTCGATTATCTAGTTTAAATCAAAAAATGAAGGCTTTTCAAAGGGTCATGAGATTTGTCCATTTCGTCTCTAGTTTGCTTCATAGACTGTACAGGCTTTTGGAAGATTATTTTATTGCCAAGAATCATTACGAATCGATAGGAGGCAGAGTATGATGAAGTTGAATAGAAGTTTCTCCTGACAAAAATTAGATATTTATAATTTATTATACTCGAAATTTTATTTCATATGTAGTTTTCTGTTTAGCCCCAGTTGTGGTGAAAAACTTTTGTAATATCTTTTTTGCATCTATATCCTATTATAATAACTTTTTTCCACAAATTTTAACAATCTTTGGCTAGAAGATGATTGCCTTTTTTGCTTAAATACAGTAAAAATCGAGTTGGAATCCGATTCTTCTTCTTTTTATTCTTCCTGCGCCTTTGTACCGCTTGATCGTCGCCCAAAGTCGATTAGCAGAGGTCCTATCCTGATATCAGTGAACTGGCTTCAGTGACATATCCGTCAATGCGTGTGACGGCTGGAGATTTTTGAAGCCGTGGTCACTAAGAATAACTGCCGAGATAAACGCGAGACACTGGCGGTACATTGACGAGCTCGCAAACATCTCGCTTTTTTTCTCGCGCCGGTCTCGCATTTTTCTGGGCGCGAGCTCGCATTTTTCTAGGCGCGAGCTCGCATTTCTCTCGCAATTTGAAAATTTCCGAAATGCGAGATAAATGCGAGATGGCGCCAAGAAAAATGCGAGGTCGCGCCGAGAGAAATGCGGGATCGCGCCTAGAAAAAAGCGAGATGTTTGCGAGTTCGTCAATGTACCGCCACCGACCTCGCGTTTATCTCGTCAGTTATTCTTAGTGGTTTCCCACTACCAACATTTCTTAAACCCCTTGGTTGGGTCGGGGATCGAACTTGTGACCCTGTGGACCGTAGGCAGGCATACAACCTGTTGCGCTACGACGCACCGTGTTGAATTCCGATTAAACCCCTAAAATTTTCAACGAGTCGGCTTTAAGTACGAAGTTTCTACAAATATCCCCTTTTCCAGAAGAAAAATCGATTTCGCGACGTCGGCGGCGTTCGATGGAGCTGATGTCGGCATCGACGCGATCCGAAGTTTTGTCCGCGATTAATTATTCCCAAATCAAACGATCATCTCGTTTCTTCGTATGCTTAATCTCATTTTACTCACGATTCTTGTTTTCTTTCCTGTTCCCACTCGATTTGACCTTTTTTTAGGGTGCTTCTCTTCTGGTTAATATGATTCGTATGGTTTCTTTCCTTGCTTCCCCTGCATTTTTCCCCCATCACAGATTTTCCTTCAAATATTTATCATGTTAATAATGAAGTTTAACTGTCGGCGTGTAATTGTGAAAATTCCACCAGTCAAAAATATTTTCGCTACGTTTTTTTTTGAGCGAAAGCCTTTTTGTAGGCAAGAGGCGTGAAATTGAACTTTTTTGCTGGTGAATGGGAAGAATCATTTCGGGTTTTTGGGAATTGGAGTCGAGAAGGAACTTAAAAATAGCTCAGAAAAGGAAGGATTTTATTTTATCAAGAATAGGATTCTTAATTTTTAACTTTCATATCAAGACTTTGATAAATTTTTGAAAAAAAAAATGTTTTTATCAGTGGAGCGCAGTTTCCCGGGCTTTCGGAATCAAATTTTCTTTTATTTAGCTCAATTTTAAAATTTAAAAAAAATGAGCTGATTAGCAAATTTTTCAGAGTTCCTTAAGTGATCACTCAACTAACTGAGGCTCTTTTTTTCAAAATCGCTTAAGAGATCTCTTAAATTAACTTTTTGATGACTCACTCAAGTGATCGCTTAAGACCTTGACCCAACTTTGAAAACTTTTAAAGTATACTTCCAATCCTCCAAGTGACCACTTCAAGATGAAAACACGTTTCAGAGGTCTCTAAAATACCTCTTCCCATATCTCCACCCTCGCCCATTTCATTTTACCCATGTATTTTTAGGTTACGGTAGTCACTTTGATCCCGATTACCGTGGCTCATCCCGACTAACACCTATTTTGCATTTGTGGCAAGATATTTTAGGCAAAGTCCATCCGAGCCAATTCCTTTTCGTCGCCTTTGAAAGGGGATTTGTCTTGAGCGTTGATCGGTTTTCGGTGGTCTCTTTCCGGTTTCAGGTTGGTTTCAGTCATTTTTTCGAAGAATTATGCCAAAGAACACTTTAGAAAGGATTCTAGAGAAATTGTCTTGCTTTTGAAAATATAACGATTTTTTATGAAAGCTGTAAAATCTGAATTTGAGGTTGAAAAAAAATTATGAGCATTTTTTTTTGATTCGAACCCGTCGATTCTGTGCTGAATATATTATTTATAGCCAGCACAGAAATGAATAAAAAAATATTTTGCAAAAACCCTTTTAGAGATCTTATTTGAACCTTTATAGACCCTATTTGGACCCCTCCTTTGACAGTTTCAGTCATTTTCTCGAACCTTCTTCATTTATTTTTTCTGGGAACCATGTTCATTCCTGGGAAAATGTTTAGTGGCCACTATAGAGGCTCGCCAAGGACTACTTGGAGAAGACACTAAAGTCGCCACTGAACCCACCTCTACTGTGGCCACTATTTCCCGTTTTAGTGGCCACTTCAGTAGTTTTTCATCCAGTATTCCTTCCAGTAATTCTGATAATTTTAAAACAAATAGACTCGACCAGTTTTTTGATCCATTGACCCCTAAAAGGTCACTAAACTTTATAGTTGTCTAGTAGTAGCACTTAGACCCCTAAAGTGGCCACTAATTTTAAGCTCTTAAGTGGCCACTAATTTGACTACTATAGTGGCCATCAAAACGTCAAAACCTTATAGTGGTCACTAAAAATTCTCACAGTACGGGATTTTTGCATCATATAAAAATGCAAATTACCACTTTAAACCACCGTCGAAGTTCAAAAGAACCAAAAAAAATCCTGCGACTTATTTCCACGTGTTTCTTTGTCCTACAAGGCCCGGAAAGGAAGAATAATATCACGTGAAAAAAAGAAAGTTTGACAGCTTCCGGTTTTTTTGAAATTTTTTTGTGAAGGTACAATTTTTGGTGATAAGATAGACTACTTATTTGCGTGTCTTAGGCCTGGAGTTCTGTGAAGGACTTTAGTGGCCACTTTAGGGTTTTGACATTTTAGTGGTCACTATAGACACTGAAGTGGCTAAAATTCAGTGACCTCTTTAAAAGTCAAAGTGGTACTACTAGAATTCTAAAACTACTAAAGTGGCCACTAAGACGCAAAAAGTCGCTTCTATATATTGTCTTAGTGGCCACTTGAGTGTCTCTTAAGAGTCTCTTAAGTGGCCACTAGTGTTTTTCACGATTCCTCCAAAAAAAAAAAGATATTTTTGGAACAGAATAAAAATTCCTACACACAAATTGGACGAACCCAGACATATTAAAGCGTCGAAATTTTCGCTACCTCAAATCCCTTTGATCCTACCGACAAAACAACGCAAGTACAATTGGCTGAGCGGTTCAATTCCAGCTTTTCCACATAAAACCGGGGGTCGGGATCCGAAAATAAGGAATTTTCAGTGAAAGAATGCTTGTAATTTATATCAATAGAAGGTTTAAATTTTGGAGAGTCCAATTTTTTTTGAAATGAAACTACAAAAAACCCCCGCTGCAAAACGACGCGTCTTCAGATTACTGGAAAAACTTTAGTGGTAACTTAAGAGGCTCCTCAAGGGCTACTTGAAGAGGATACTAAAGTGATCACTAAAATCACCTTTATAGAAGCCACGATTGATCTTATTAGTGGACACTATAGGGGTTGCTTTTTAAGCGGCTACTAGTTTGACTGCTTAAGTGGCCACTGAAGCATCAGAGTCCTAAAGTGACCATAAAACGTCAGAACCCTATAGTGGCCACTCGAAATTCCCCGAGGAAGTTTTTTATTCACAATTTTTAGCCTAAAACCGTAGTTGCAGATCAAAATTTAGCGAACATCATCTGAAAATTCAGAATTTCAACAAAAATAAAAGGTTTAAATTTGCAGGAGAATTTTTTTCCAAAGCCAGGATTTAAATTTTCGTCTTTCAAATTGTACTTTGAGATCATTTGCACCCAAATTCGGGTGCGCTACAAATTCCATTGATGGAATTTTGAAATGATATTTTTTTCAACTTGAATTTTTCTCCTGTTAAAAAAAGTTAACGTCAAAAAAATGATTTTGGTTATTTTTTTTGATAGGTACCGCACCCTTTTTCTTTCTGAGACCGGATTTTTCGAGTTTTTCCTCGAGTTGTCATTATTTTTTATAATGCTAAGCTATTGCAGGAAAAAAATCTGAATATTTTATTTTTTTTCATTTATTTTTTTCGCTGAACCCAACTGTTTTGAAATGAAAACTTCAATATTTCAAGTATCCCCTTTGAAAAAGGAGAAAAAGATTTTTTTAAGGTTGTTTATAATTTAAATATGGGTTCTATGTACATAGGCAAAGTCGGAAGGACCCTTTTCGGGCCCCTTGAGCACCCTTTTTTGAGTCTTTTCAGCCCGCCAAGGATGAAAGGCTCAAAAATGGCCGCAAAGCGGAACCCTTTTAGCGGCCATTTTGCACCCGTTTTCCACATTTTCGACTTTTGCAGTGTGTTTCAAGCTTTTTCGACCCTTCTTTTTTGAATTTTTTGGGAAAAGATTTTTTTAAGCAAGCTATAGATCCAACTCGTAATATCTACGCCTTTTCAACCGTCTCGAAGCTTTTCGATCCATTTTTTTTTTCAAAAATGTTCTCCTCTTTTCAAGTTCTCTTCTCTTTCCAACCGAGTCCGAATCTGTACAGTTTGAACAAAACAGATCGCCGATCAGAAAGTTGAGTGCACAAACATGAAGAAAAAGTTGTTTGAATCGGATCTAATCCTTGATTTCGGCGTCCCCCGTTCCTTCATTTTTCTAGTTTGCTCTTTTCGGCCCACTGTTTGTAGAAAATTGATGTCAAGGTGTTCACTGATCAATAAAAAAAATTTTTTTGATTCAGAACATCCTCAAAAATCATCCAAACATGTAGAAAAAGCTGATAATTTTGAAAAATTCATGGCTTTCGAAATAAATAAAAGTTATCCGTCTCTGCAGAACTCTCTCTCTCAAAGCTTGTAGATCCTTTTGCAGTAACATATCTTCTGCAAACTCCCAGAATATTGAAAGAAGCGTGGGTTGTAAAACCACTTGCAAAAAAGTGAAACGTTTGGCACAAATCGTGGTGGGAAGAAACCGCCGTTTCAAGTACTTTTCAGTGAATAATTGATAAGCTTTTCATTCCGAGTTGCCTAATTTATTTGATTTTTGAACTTGAATGAGCAAAAAATGTTCTGGTTGCGTCATTTCGCACATTTTTGAAGTCATGAAACGCCGCACTTGGAATGGCTCGAAGTGCCGCGGCTGAGAACCGACAAGAGCCCTTCTCTTCAATGATTATCGATGCGACCAAGCGCAAACCGTTTCGGGTCGGCTGAACGCTTCGAGTCATTCTATGGGCGACTAATGGCTGTTATGAATTTTTGATGTCAGAAATTTCAAAAAAATTCCAAAAAAATAAAAAAATAAAGGAAAAACCGACTTTTTCTGTATTGAGAATTTATCAGAATGAAAAATTTTTTTCCTTCTTTTTTTCATAAATTCTCTGAAATCTTAAAAAAATCTAATCACAAAAATTCTATCAAATTTTGAACATAATTTCGGATTTTATGTCTTTCTAATTGAAGAAATATTTTTTTACGTTCAAAGAATGATTCCATGCATCAAATCAAGTCGTTTTTTTACCCCATAAACATGATTATTTGATATAAAAAAATCCTTGTTTTTTTCGCCCTTTTTTTTCCTTAATAAATTTGATTTTTTTGCTAACTCTTCTAAACGTCTTTGCCTCGGATTCTTGGATATCAGGGAAAAAAATAATTCTTTTTTTATAGCAAGAAACAGCTTGAAAGATTGATTATTTCTTGAAAACCAAAAAAACGACCAATAAAAAAACTAAAAAAATCTAAGAAGCTCCGCCCACTGGACACGCCCCCTTTTTGAAGCAGAAACGCGGCCCTCAAGTTGTACCATTCCACAACACAAATTTCCTTCCTTTTTGACGTTTTCAGAGTTTCTTCTCCTTTTTTTTCTAGTTCAATGTTTGAATTCTTTTGACAAGGTTACTATGGCTATTATATGAGGGTTCATCTTGAGAAAAAGTTGGATCAAAACGGTTCATTTTTTTCTGAACTTAAATAGTTTTATGGCAAATTTTTACTTTATAATAATGAAATCAAATAGATGAAATGATAAATGGAGCGAAGAAGCTCAACAATAGTCAGCTATCAGTCCAGTAAGCCCCCTAAAAAAAATTTAAAACCAAAAAAATGACCTCAAACTCCAAATAATCTTGTTCCTTCTAGGGATCATTCCCATTTGCTTGATTAAATCTCCCGGCGCCTCTTCTATTTATTAAAATACCCAGACGGATGGATCTTCATGAATTATTAGCAGGAGAAAAAATGACTTCTTTTCTGATTGCAAACTGAAAGGAAAATGAACTTTTCGCCTTTTTTCTACTGACCAAGTGTCAGTCAGGCCTGCAAACGTGTCTTCTTCTTCTGTCTGATTAACAGTTTTACGACTGTTTTTTGGTTTAACATTGAGCTAGATTAGATTGATATGAGAGGGCTGGTTTTTGACTTGTTGGCTGGAGAATCAGCCGTCAATTTGAACTTTTTTTTTTATTAAAGCTTCTGTTTGGAAGTATGAGGCTTGAACAATCGATGAATAAACAGATTTTTTGAAAACTTTCGAAAGCTATATGTTTACTTCAACTTTTTTTTTTCCTTATTTAAGTTGTAGATCGAAGTGAACTCGTTGGGGTTCACACTGATCTGTGAATAAATTATTATTATTAAAAAGTGAATTCATTTCCCTGTTCGAAAAATAAGAAGAAATTGAAAAAATGCTCTACTCTGTTCTAAAAAAATTCATTATTTTTTTCCGGCAAATGAATCTTAAAGTTTTTAAAAAAATTTAATGAAAAACCCGTTAAGGGAAACCCTGTTAACCTTAAAAAAACTCTTTTTTTATTTTTTTAAATCCCTTTATTTGAATGAAAAAAATGGATGCCTCCTAAAAGCAACTTTTGTGCAAGGAAAAGAACGATTTAGTATTCCTCTCAGCTTTTTTTTCTTCAAAATTAATTACTTCGAACCGAATAACATTCTAAAAAGGCTGATTCAAACGCTCAATCGTAAAATTTCACCTTCTTTCCAAATTTTTTTTGAAGTGACTGATTAGAAGTTTATAAACTGCATTTGTATGGGCGACAAAGTGTATTTTCCTATGAAAAAAAGTGAATTTTGATATTTTCGAGATTTTTTTCGCTACGTATCAAGAAAAAAATTCGCTGAGCATCAATTCGCCAAACAAATCAGAATATTTATCCGAAAAAAACTCATTTGTATAAACGTTTTTTTCGTTGCAGAAACGTCACCTATTCCGTTCGTGGAGAAAATAAACAAATATATTGATTTTAAAAAAACCATCAAAAAAGTATGCCATTTGAGATAAAAATTAGTCCGAAAATTCAACTAATCGGATTTTTTTTGCACTCACAACTATCAATTGAAAAATCAGTGTCTGAACAAATTTAAAAAAAAACAGCAGACATTTTAGCTATTCCCAAACGCGACCATCAAACGCGAACTCGTGAAGCAGCCCATTGAAATCAAGAGCCGAATAAAAATGCAAATAAGGTGTTTCGTCGGAATTTCTCAGGGACGGAAGCACTAAGCCGGTTCAATTGCACAATGAGGAGCAGGGAAAATGGGATTCTTCCTTGGCTTTTTGGGACCTTCCTAATTTATTTTTGGACCTACCAAAAATTTGTCTTTTTTGTTTTGGTCATGGGGAAGTGAGAATTTTCCTTAATATTTTTGAATCAAGCTTGAAGTCGAAAGATATTATTTTAATAGAGAAACTCTCTTGTAAAACTTCTTGAAAAATGAACTTGAGAAAAAAAAAAATTCTAGTGCGCTCCATTCACCGCTGGCTTCTTCTTGAAAAAAATCACCTAGTTTTCTCTAAAACCTCCCGTTTTTTTGCCCACTACCTCGTTTTTTTATTTTCTCTTGAAATTATTTTCGATTTTCAAATAAGACTCGAGTTCTCTTGAAACTACAATTTTTTTCATTTTATTCAACTTCTTTATTAGTAATTAATCTTATAAATTTTCTCTTGAAACTTTATGAGCCGAGGAAAACGCGAGCGAGGGATCAGTGAAAGTCTGAAGAGACGCTAGAAAAGGAGACAATTTTCTTTTTCTCTGTCGACTCCTCGATCTATATTAATCTCTTCTCACACTCAAAAGTTTATAATAAAAAGCGTTACTTTTTATAAAAAAACGATTAAGTTTCTTTTAAAAAAAAAGGAAATCTCAGGTAATCCAACGAAATGGCGCGGTCTTTGGTGACAGTGTTGGCTGTGCTGGCGTTTCTGATGGCGTTAGTCATACAAGACGTCCATGGCCGCATTTTCTACGATCAGCTCGAAGACGAAGATTACAGGTAAAATGATTCTAAAATGATTCAAAAACAATATTAGAGACGCTTTGAATGGAATAATTATAAAAAAAGAATTTTTTTTAAAAAAAGGTGGCGGGAAATAAAATGCATTCTGTGCAAACACTCTGCGTAGCTTTGCTGTACAGAATGCCTGAAAAAAATAATTTTTTTCCCGTTTACCTTTTTCTTTAGAAGCCTTTTTTTCTCAACCTTTTCCTTTTTTTAATTTTTGAATAATTTATATTTTTTTAGATTGATGCCGGTTCGCAATGTCAAACGAAACCGAATGTGCTTACTCAACGCTGGTTTGTCACAGGGTTGTGACCTCTCCGATATTTTGCAAGCCAAAAACTCAGGTTACTTATTTTTATTAATATTCGGTTTTTTTTTGATATGAATGAAACATATTCAGAGATAACTTTCAAAAAGACTGTGCGTTCGCTTGTCAATTTTTAAAAGGGAAAAAAACAAGTTGAGACTTGATAACGATACGAAAAAGTGATAAGGTCTAGGAAGCTGTCAATTACGCTGGAATGATAAGAATAATTTTTAAAGTTTGCTCGAAAAATCTCCAAGGGACGACTTTTTTCAGGCCAACAAGTTCATGAGCTTCGCCGGGCCTGGAAAACGATGATTTTCAGTGGAAATGACTGAAAAATTCAAATCCCGCAATTTCGCGCCAAAACACATCCGACCAAGATCTCTCTGCACGTTATACCCATCGACTTGAAAATTTTATTTTTATTTTTGTGATCTCCCACGCCCGCATTTTTTTCTCGTTCTTTTCTTCGCTTAATAAAGTTGCTGATTTATTTTCTTTCAGAAAGAAAAAGAAAAAAATGGAATTTTTGAATTAGAGCGAAATAGCAGCAAAAAAGGAAGCAAAAAGGCTCAAAAAAAGGTCGCAGAAAGGGTCCAAAAAGGTTCCTTTATCAAGCCTTCCATTTTTCTGGGATTTTAAAGGCTCGAGAAATGGTGAAAAAAGCAAGAGGCATCAAAAATGGGGCATAACAGCCGATGAAATGGCGCAAAAAGGCAGAAAAAAGGGAGCCTTCGTCACCCTAAAAGGAACATTTCTATGGAGCTCTTTCCGACTTTGTCTATGACTAATAAAATTAATTTAATAAATTTGGAAACTTCAGTTGAAAGATGAAAAAAACGTGACTGATTCGTTAAAAATAGACCAATTTTTTTTCTTCTTTTTTCATCATCCTTATTTTTAGACAATGCTGAACTTATTAACGCCCAAAAATGGTACAAATGGGTAATAAAAAGGCGTTATCGCTGTGAAAAATGTCAGAGATAGTTGCCTTTCAAGGCGTTTGTCGTGCAAATGTTGCGGATATTTTTATTTTTGTCGATTATTCACGTATCGAATGCCTTGTTCTGCTATAATGACACCATGCAGGTGATTATTTTTTTATTATATTTTTTTTCAAATTCAGAATTTTATTAATTGAAAATTGAAATCCAAAGGCCATATGGTTATAGTCTGTTCAGATTTTCAATGTCAAGTCGTCGCTCAAGCTCCGCCCCTAATTGTGATTAAATAAACCAATCAGAGAGCGAGCCATCCACATATTGTTTTTGAATGACGTCATTGCACTTGACATTCAAAATCTGAACGGACTATAGATTTCAAAACGAAAATTTTCAAGTAAATCAGGATGAATGAAAAAAAATTGAATGTCCGAAAAAAGTTTTTGTCCGTGGAGCGAACTTGTTCTGACAAGTGTTTTCACGCTTTTTTCGACTTTTAGATGACCTTTTTCTTGATTTTTTTTTTTGATAAATCTTCTGTACGGTTTCAGAGAATCCAATGCGACCCAGCTTCTTTGTTTTGTATCAAATTCACCACTGGAAACGTCGTAACGAGAGGATGTTCAGGCGTTACGTTGTGCTATGATGAAGATCCATGGTAAAATTAATTTCATTTAATTTTTCTGTCACTTTTAAAGTTTTGAAGATACCGAATTTCTGAAAAGGAGCCATTATTTGAAAATTTCGTGGTCGCACTTGGAATGGCTCAAAAACTTGCGGGGAAAAAACTCGAATTTTCACTAATGAGATCATTTTTCCCTGCCATTTTTCAATGATGGCTCTCTTGAGTGGCTAAATCCAAGGGATCACTTGAGGGAAACCTTCTTGAGGTGGCAAAAAAAGCCTTCGAATTTCAAAAGCGCTTTTTTTAAAAAGAACATATTTTAACTGTTTTTTTTAAAAACTTTTACTTTTGAAGCGAAATTCTCGGCTCATCCCTCAAACGATCACTCCAATTTTTCAGTGATTTTTAATAAAATTTTTAACCTACCGATTCCTTTAATTGAGTTTTTTCAAGTTGTAACACTCTATTTGATCTCAGTTTTGAATATTTTCCAGGTGCTACCCGATAAATCGAACCGGCGGAATCGAATCCCAATATTGCTGCTGCGATCAGGATATGTGTAATCTTTCTCTTTATTACCAGCCTATTTCTCTTCTCATTTTCATAGTATCTATCATATTTCTTGGAATTTTGCAATAGGATAAAATCTTTATATATATAATCTTCAAAACTGATGAAAAACCCGTTCAAAGAAGGAGTTGAAAGTCGCCAAAAAGAGCGAAATGATCGGAGGGGTAGTCGTTTTGTTGGTGGTAGGGCATTCGTTGGAGGGGCTCCGATCCGGAGTATGTCGATACGGCCAAAGGTCTGATTGGTCCTGAAGAACTTCGATTGAAAAATAAAAAAAAATTCGTCTTTTTTTTGATTTTATCAAACCAACTTATTAGGAGAAGTTTTTTTTTTAGTGATTGCTTCAAAGAGCAACCGACTTGAAACGGCTTACGCGTGTTGGTTGACGACCAAAACGCTTCGAGCCTTTCAGGCCCTTCAACAGCCTTTCAAGCCAAGACCTTAGAACAGTTTTTTGCCTTCGTAAAATATCGATCATCTCTTGAAAACACTTGAATGGCCACTTCATTGATTCTAATACTTTTTTTTTGAAATGTCTAGGTATGAACGAAGTTGAGGGTTTCGAAAAAAGGAAAATACAATTTTAAAGCAACAATTCTCGTTTTCCCCAAAAAACTAACCCAAATAGTGAATAAAGTCGATGCGATCCTCTGGCTCCTGAATCGTATAGTTCCACTCCGGGTTGAACTTGTTCACGGTCGACCAAGTGATCCCTTAAGTTGAAAATGTATAAACGCAACCGTCGACGCCTACCTGGATACTGGAGAGGATCTGGGTACAGTGCTCGGTAGGCGTCGATGAAACCGGCCTGGGCCAATTCTCTAGTCGCCGGCCAGGAGACTATCCAACCGCCGTGGTTTCTCCTGTAACTCCGTTTGAGTTGAAAAAGGTGGTCGCGTTTGGAATGGCTCATAGCGTCGCTCATTGAGACTTCACAGCTTTATAGCTGATTCACGGCTGGCCTGAGCCACCGAAAAATGGATCCTGACACGATAATAAAAGAGGCAGTGCATGGTGTGTGGAGGGCACAGACAGGCCACGCCCCCTCAGTGTCCCAAGCTGGCCGTGAATCAGATATATCACGCTTTCAGCCGCTAGACGTAAGTCGTTTCAAGTCCGACGCACTTTGAAAAGGCGCGTCGAGCCATTCCTAGTGGGACCAGGATGAGTTGAAAGATTGAAAAAATTAAAAAAACGAGAAAAATTGGAAATCTAGTTCACAATGAAAGCTTATCATCAAGAGTTCCTATTCATCCAGGAGGAGAAAGTAAATTCTCCATGGAGCGCGATTGCTGAATTGAGATACTGAACAAACCTGTTTCCCTCGACCCAATCCAAATGAGAAGGACCATTGAAATCTCCGCAGACAAAAAGAGGATAGGTTCTGGATTTTCTGATCCACGATTGCATGATGGGATGCTCCAAAATTTCTTTCATTTGGGGTCCCCTGCCTAAAATTTTCCGAATAGATAGCGACTCTTCTCGAAATACGGACCCAAGTTCTCTCCAGCCATGATCTGATCGATGGAGGTGACCAGCTTGTTGTAGGCGGCGTAGGGACCGTAGGAAGTGTAGGCCAAATGGACGGACCAGATGTAGAACATGAAGCCGGACCGGTGGAGGATTTTCACCCCAACTCCCGCGCTCGTGAATATCGTCGTGTTGGGGACGATCTCAACGCAATATCATACTAATAAAGTTTCAGTTACAATTTAATTCACAAGTTAAAATAAAAATTTTTTACTTATACGCTCTCGAAACCGAGTACAACATTTTCAACTTTGCGCGGCCTTACGAAGATTAGGCATCTCAGAAATTTTAACTTTTTTGTCTTAAAAAGATTTGTTTTTTTCACTTGAAAATTAAATTCTAAAATGGCGCCAACAACATGGAACTAGGTTAAAAACCCGAAGAAAAAAAGTAGTTTTGGTTTTTTGTACGACACTCCGCTAAAACGCTTCGAAAATCGGGTGAAAAGTATATGAGATTAAAAAGGAAGGTTTTCTCTATGTTTCCACTAATTTTCTCTGTGTTTGCTTCAGAAAGCATCAAACACAAAATCTAAAAAACCAGTGCATTTCACCATCGCAAAAAGGGGCGTGGCTCGGCGGTCTCTAGCAATATGTTGATTATTTAGAAGAAGACCATGTCTCGAAATTGGAAATTGGAAATTATGAGGAACATTTTCGTATTCAGGACAATCTCCACACAGATTGTTGATTTTTCAAAAGAAGGCCGTCTCCAAATTGGAATTATAGGGAAACATAGAGACAATCTAGCAACTTTTCGTTTCGTTGGAGATGAAAATCGAAATTCGCTCCAAATTCTAGAGAAATTCAAAAAAAGAAAGAATAATGAAACATGGTCAGACTGCCTTTAACTGTTATGAATGAACTATACCATTTCAATTAGAAACTTTAAAAGATCTAAAAAAACTTTCAAAGAATTCGAGCTTTATTTTCTTAGGCTGATTTGGGATTAGAGTGTCGTTAAGCCGAACTCTATCAAATCCCACTTTTTTCTTCAGGTTCCCTATAAGAAAATTATTCCATCGTTTATTTCATGATTCAGCAGAGTACCTTCTCTGAAGACTGAATAAAAGTTTCAAAAGTTTCAAAAGTTTCAAAGTTTCCCTGTAAGAGATACATGCTTACAAAGTGTTTCGTGAGAATGACCCTGTCTGGATAGTTGCCAAGTGGACACTCCACGGCCTGCCACTGCTCCCCGAGCATTCCAATCAGCTCCGTGCTCACGTTGACGTAGGTCTCCTGAATTTCGAGCTCTCTCAAAGTCGATTTTCAACTGATAAAAGGTTGAACATTATTGAAGGTTAAAAAACGGTTCAGGCTGGTCATTTTTTGAAATTTGCTAGGATAATCCTTGAACTTAAGATTCGAAAAAAGAGCTGCTCAACTTTATCATTTGTCAGGCTTTAAATCCATTTTCCTATTCATCTGAGTTTTTAAATTTTTCCTTGACTTTCCGGGAAACTTTTTAGTGGCCTTTATAGAGGTTCGTCGAGGACTACTTGGAGAGGACACTGAAGTGGCCACTTTAGTAGTTTTTCATCCAGTATTCCTTCCAGTAACTCTGAATAATTTTGGAACGAACAGATTAAATCAGTCATGTTGATCCATTGACCCCTAAAGTGGTCCCTAAAATTTTTAGTGGTCTAGTAGTAGCACTTAGATCTCTATAGTGGCCACTAACTTTTCACCCCTTAAGCGTTCACTAATTTGACTATTATAGTGGCCACTAAAACGTCAAAACCCTATAGTGGCCACTAAAAATTTTCATAGTTGAAAGATGTTTTCTCGGAAAGTAGGAGGTTCTGTAGGCTCAAAATTTGAGAATCTTCATCCAGTACAACAAAGAGTTCTGACCAAATTTCAAAAGTTCCCAGAGTGTAAAATAAATTACCCCCCTTGTAAGGAGTCAACCCTAAATTCCAGACTCAGCCAAAAAAAAAACCAACCTGAAGAGTGACCACATCCGGATCGACCAGAGCAATGTGCTTGGCAATTTTTTCCCGACCATTGATGACATTTTTCCCGGAATTCCAAATATTGAACGTCATGACTCTGAGACCTCCCCTCTGACCGGATGACGTCGTAAAGCTGGCTAACATGAGCAACAGCGTTTGGAGTGGCCGGGGGAGCATTTTTCTGAAAAAATCGCCATGCAACAATGAACTTGAATTTTATTAAAGTTTGACTTTCGACGTTTAATAAAGTAAGAGTAATGGGAAAGTTTTTTTCTGAATGAAAATCATAGAAAAAAATTTGGTTTGGTGATTTCTGAGCTTCAAATTGAAAATTCAAAAATTCAAAAAACACTGAACGTAACTAAAGCTTCATAAAGATATAGTAACAGGGAAATTTCGAAGATTCTTGGATTATTTCTCATGTAAAGTTGAAAAAAAAGAAGATATAGCAACAGAAAATTGATCAATAAAAGTCGAACGGAAACATCAAACTCCGCAGAACAACACAAAAAAAAGAGAAGAAGATCAACAAGAAATCCGGCTCTCTCGTCTTTTTTTTTGATCTCATCAATTTATCTTTTCAGCTGAGAAAAGTCGAGAAAGGATTGTTTTTTCTGGGAATTTTTAGAAGGTTTCTGAGATCTAACTCAATTTTGAAGGCTATATACTGTAGATAGTGATTTTTTTGTTACAATCCAAAAATTTCCAGAAAGTTAAAAATAGTTTCAAAAATTTTTTTAAGAGCTCTAATGTATTATTGAAAAATTAAAAACTTACTTCGAACTTGATCAAGTTTTTTTTTGTAGTTTGATCAAGTTCGTTCAGGATTTGATCTATCAATTTTTTTCTATGATCCTGAAAGTTTAACAATAATTAGAACGCTCCTAAAGAGACTTCTATTAGATTTTATGACTTATAATTTTAATTTTAATTCAAAATACGTTTTTAAAATAGGTGTGGTATGTATTTGTAGCTAATGACCTAACACATCTTTAGGAGAGGTAACTTTAAGGGCAAATAACTATTGTGAGTAGGGTGACCGAAAAACCAAAATAGCGAACACAAAAAATACCGTATCTCCAAAATTTCTACAGTAACACAAAATGGTATGTACTGAAAAAATTCCTAAAATTGCATTACCTATCGATTGATATACAACTTGCCTAGAGAATACTCGTCAATTCTTAGATACGCAACCTGCCTACCGTAACCCGGCCTACAGTAAGAGGGAATGGCTCAAAAAATTGTTTCCGCAATCCTGACGTCATATGATAACACTGGTTAAAATTTCATTGGAATCAAAAAAATTTTTTTTTCTTCTGTTTTCTGAGTTTTACAGAGACGGAGTGTTAAGCGAAAAAGCTCCTTCAAAATAATAAAAATGAAATCGAAATATTCTAGGAGCCGGACTATACTGAATTAGTGCAGATAGACCTACTGAAACACTGTTCATTCTTATCGGATGGCAATACGATCGACAAACACGGTTCCTAGTAGTCCAAACGTAACGGAAAGATACCATCAGTCGTTCTTAGGAACCTCCCGAAGCCCCGCCCACTTTCCCAGAAAATTTCTAACGGACAGTACAGCGCATTTTTTTTCCTTTTTTGGCAAACGCAAATAAACGTTCCAAAAGCATATTTGCATAGTTTTGGACATCAATGCTTAAAAAAAAACGAAAATAATGCTCCAAGTTATCGTTGAACGTTTTTGGAAAGCTTTTTCAAAGAAAAGGACATTTGTGAAATTAAATTCCGACGCCATAGCTTCTAGAAGTTTCAAAGAAAAGCAATGGAAATAATTTTTTGAACTCATTTTTGAGGAAATTTCAAAAAGTTCATGCATGAAGGAATGTTTCGAATAACATTTCGCTATTGTATGATTCAAATAATGAGCGGAGAACTTTTGGTTTGACGTTCTCTCGAATTTCAATCGAAAAATGGAAAACCAGAGAGTTCTATGGAATTTTAAAAGCGGACTTTTCCTTTTAATATGATTCTCGCGACATTGGAGAAAAAAGGTCGATAGTTTTCAGAAAAAAAAGACAAAAATACTATTTTACCTCTACGTTTTATGATCTACATACGCCGACGGAGTATACCTGAAATTGGCCAATTTTATGTGATCTCGTATCTTTATATCTTTTGGCCGAAGATGACCTAAAAGAGGTTATAATGATCTCTATTAGTGCTGGATCACGAGGAAAACAATCCATTGGAAAAAAAAATAATATGTTATTTTTTGTGTTAATGAAAAATGAAAGAAACGAGAAAAAAATTATTTATTTTATAGGCACCGATGGCATGTAGGGAACGGCTAAACGCGTGATGACTGTCTTTAAAATGTGCACCCGACTTTAAAACGGCTTGCGGAAGGGATGGGCCACACGCTTTCCACTTAGTAAGCCGCAGCGCGACCGCAACGCGTTAGTCATTCTACCTGCGGCCCGAAAGTTTTTTTTTCTGTGCAAATTCGGCGAAGAATTTCAAAGACTGCATTTTCTACTTTTTTTCATGTCATTTTTATTCTATCTTATAGTTTTATGTCATACCAAACGAGGTCCTGACGCGATTTAACAAAATAGAAAAACAGGGAAAAATCAAAAAGTAAAAGAATGTCATGATGATTTTCGTGTCAGTGGGCCCGAAACTGAACAATTGTCCATTTGGTGATGTTTCGGCGGTCTTGGGACCAGCCAATTGTTGCTTTTTTTGCTGTTCAAGTTGCACTGAGCAAGTGGCGGCTCACGTGTTCGTTTTTCTGATCGTTTGAATTATGTTCTGCCTTGAAGTTGCAGGGAAAAAATTGTTTGTTTCAGCGATATAGGTTGTTAAGGAACATTTGCTGGAAGGTTGAATGCCTCACTGGATCAGAAAAACATTTTAAAAAAACGGTTTTTCGTTCCGAGACTTTCATTAAATCCGTTCCTGCACTTTTGAAGATCCCAGGAGAGGTTTCTCAACAGGCGTTACTAAGAGCAACTTTGAAGAATCATCCATATAGTCTGTTCAGATTTTGAATTTCAAGCCGTCGCTCAAGCTCCGCCCCTAATAGCCAATCAGAGAGCGAGCCACCCATAGAGCCTTTTCGAATGACGTCATTGTACCAAGCAACTCACAAAAGGATTCAGTCAACAACATTTATCGAAAAAATTTTCGATTTTCACTCGAGTTTCTAAGGAGCCTCAAGCTTGAAGGTGGAGCAAGCGTTGCGGATTTTCCAGGCTCCGTCCTCCTTGACCCACAGGCTGAGAGACCTTAAGTGGTGACTTTGAGATGGGAGAACACTCAAATGGTTCCTTACCATCCTTTTTTCTCGCCGGTCGGCAGTTTGACGATCAACGAGCAGCGGTCGATGGCCACGTCTCCGATCACCTGAATTTCGTTTTTTTTTCTGATTTTCATGTTTTCTGGCTTTTTTTCAAGATTTTCAGGGTTGCTTCAAGTTTGAGAGATACAGTTATATAGTCGATTCACGGCTAGCTTGGGACGCAAAGGGGCGTGGCCTGTCTGCGCTCTCCAACCAGACACTGTCTCTCTTCTTATCGCGCCAGGACCCATTTTAGATGGCTCAAGTCAGCCGTGAATCAGCTATACCGCTAACCCTTTTTGAACTCAAATCTTGCATGAGCGTAAAATGACTCAGTGTGTAGCGATTGGCCTCGAGCTGCGCCGGACATAAAACGATTTACGCCTAGAGGTCTCAAGAAGTGGCAAAGCTCAGTTTCCGACCGAAACCGCGGCGCTTTGAGCCATTCCAAACGCGGCTACGAACCACCCTAAATTTCTCACGAAAACCTTGATCTCGTCAATGGTGACGTCGATCTCCGCCCCGGCCAACGCCGCTCCTTTTGGCGAGTTGGCGAATCCGGCCAGCGCTGAAGTGGTCATTCTAGTGAACATTCAAGTGATCTCTTTTCTCACAAGCAGCGTCCAGAGGGTCGTGCATGGGGCCGATGAAAGTGGCCCCCTGAGCGGCGAACTTTTTGACGAACTCGTCGTGTTTTCCAGCCTTGCGCAATTCGCGCATCTCCTCGTGGAGCTTCTTGAACTCGGCTTCGGCTGGAAAACCGAAGGCTCTTTTTTGCGATTTTTTAAAAAATAATCTGATTCAAAATTTCAAGCTAAAAAACTGATAGTAAATGAAAAACTCACACATGTTGAAGTCGACGTAGCGAACGAAAAAGTCGTCAGCGCGTCCTTCGCCGGCTCGAGCTCACTTTTATACGTCCTTCGCTGCTAGGGACCCGCCCATCCGTTGTTATGGAAGTTACTTCGATAAGCTTCCAACGTTGTAATGTTTTTACGTGTTCATGGGAAACTGAAAGGAGAAAAATTATTAGTTCAAGAAGTGAAAAAAAAGCTCATTCTGAGAAAACGAGAAAGTATTATTTAAGCTAGAAAATATGAATTATAAGTTTGAGAAAAATTGGGAAAAAAATTGGGAAAAAATATTTTCAAATTTAGATGGTACGACAAAAATCTCAGTCCGCAAATCTCGAGGACCGTAATCTTGTGTACGCAGATCTAAAGTCCCATAATCTTGGAAACCAAAATTTTGGAGACCGAAATCTTGGAAACCACAATCTTGGAAAGCAAAAATCTCCCTTTTTAGTCTTCTTTATTGCACTTTATCTACCTATATTCTCTCGGTTGTATCACCGAATACAATTTCTGATAAAATCTATTCGCAAAAGCGTTGATTTTTACTTTCCAAGATTGTGGTTTCCAAGATTTTGGTCTCCAAGATTTTGGTTTCCAAGATTATGGGACTTTAGATCTGCGTACACAAGATTACAGTCCTCGAGATTTGCGGACTTGAGATTTTGTCGTACCATCCAAATTTACTGAAGCGCGTAAGTATGGGCTCACAGTCGTGAACGAAACATTTTACTTGACGCGCATTTCGTGACATTTTTTCTCACTTTAGTTGTTTTCAACTTAGTTTTATATTTCAAAGATAAGAGGGTGATTATCCTAGTATATCACTGAAAAAGCTCCGGTTTTTACGATGTATCCTACTTTTATAAACCATTCTTTTATTTTTTATTGATTTTTGAGGTATTTTCAATTTCAAAGTTTTTTTTGGTTTTTTAAAAAGTATACTTTCAGAATGCTCTGTATCAAAATGAAGAGAAGGAAGCAAGGAGTTAAGCTGCGAAGTCGGAGAATACGCGAAATTTAAAGGTAATTATTTGAGACGATAGAAATTTTTAATTTATCTTTGATTTGATTTTGCTTCTAATTTTTAAAGCTGATTCAGTTGACTAAATGTTTCCATAAATCTAAGTGAATCAATTACACCACAACTTTGAAGCCTTTTCTCATCGTTAACTAAAAACTTGATGAAATCGAAATTTTTTTTTTGGAAAATGAAAGAATTTAGAAATTCTTGACTCATCAGAGTGCACTTTTAAGGAAGTAGAAAATTGATGCATTTTCAAGAAAAAATTTTTGATTGCGAGATTCTTTGAATTTGATTAATTACCATGGAAACTGGCTGATGAAGCTAGAAATTGTACGATTTTAATTGAATTATTGCGTGACTTTCCTTTGTTTCAGTGTTCCTTGATAAGTGAGTAAAGTGAAAGTGTGAGATTGAAAACGTGAATTTCTACTTTTTGAAATCTTTAAATCAAACTTCGAGTTCAACCTCCTTTAACGACTCAAAACGTAATATGAAAAATGCAAGCAAGCTCTAGTCTTTTATTTGTCAGAAAAATCGAATTTCCGCCGAACTTCTGTAAAGTTTTATAATTTCACGTCTATAGAATAAAATTTGTTGAATTTGGCAAGAAGTGGAACCTAATTTGCATTACTCACGCAGTCATGAAAGTGCATTTTTTTTTCTCCATTAAAAACTTTTTCTTTTTTTGATAAGTTGTTTTAGTGGACTCTAGACTTTGTTCTTCTAGTTTTATTATTAGATTATGAGCCTTTCAGACAGGGTTTCTCACGCGAAAAGGAAGAAAAAAAAAGCCATTTGAAACGAAAAAATCAAAAATGAAAAACCATTTTGGCTACTGTTTATCAACCGACCCTGCGAAACATTTAGTAGTCCCTTTAGGGATTTGAGTTCCAGTGGCTACTATAGTAGTCAAATTAGTGGCCACTCAAATGGCTAGAGCGCCCTCTTTAGAAGTCTAATTGGTACTACTAGGATGCTAAAAGCTATTATAGTGGCCCCTAACAAGGTAAGAAGAAATAGTTCTTTAGTTGTGGTTTTAGTGGCCACTTTAGTGTCCTCTCCAAGTAATCTTAGAGGAGCCTTCAGTGATCCCTAGAGTTTTCTCCAGTTCAACGAAAAATTTGTACAGATAGAAACAAAAAATTTAAAATGATTGATGAAAAATTAACTTTGTAATGACAGTTTCCAAAGGGACTTTCTTAAGGAAAAACTTTTTTTCCGTTAGAAAAATTACTTTTTTTATTTTTTTATCAGTAATCAAAGACTTTTTGTAAGGGTTTTTGTCTGAACAAAACTACTAGATTTTCTAACTTTCAAGACTTTTTTTAGAGCTTTCTGGTCTTCTTTTAAGATTTTTCGATCCTTTCTAAGCTTTTTTTTCTTTTTCTTGTAAGATTTCCACCGAACCTTCCACATTTATTGGTCTTTCTGGAAAAAAACCCACTTGTAGTGGGGTTTCACAACTTGAACAGTATTGACAAAGGTACCTGTAAAACCCCTATGTATTTGCAAATGGGATTAAATTTCACGCCGCCTCTCGCTTGCTGATTTTTGAGTTTCTTCAGTTCTTTGCGCTGAACTTCGAGCCTTTGAGTTGGCTATTTTTGAGTTGTAGAGAAAAAATTACTCTGTCTGCTCTTTTTGAAGTTATTTTTTATTTGAACTTACTCTACTCATTAAAAATTAGGTTTAATGAAGCATTTTGATTATGACTCAGATTTTTTTTTGGAAAAAAACTTACGGAGAAAAAAATATCTGCACAGTTATGATTGAAAAAAATTAAACTATTGACTAACTCTTAAGAGTTAAGAGATAATAGTTTTTTTGATATGTCATCATTATATGTTCACTTTTAAAAATGAAAATCTGCTCAAAAACCCTCAAAAATTGGAAAATACCCCTGATCCTTCTCTCAACCCAAATTCTGCAGTTTTTTTTTTGCAAAATATTCTTTTTTTCCTGACCAACTTGTTGTAATCAATCTTCCGAACCTTCTCTGAACACTGATTATCTATCTGACTCACTGGGATCGGGAAACGAAGCAAGAGAAAGAGAAGGATTCGCCTTTCACAGATTTTTGCATTTTCTTTGAAAAAGGAATAGTTTTGCATTATCTTTTTCATCTCCCGGTATACATGGGATGAGCCTGACTCGCGACAGCCAACGACAGCCAAAAATTGCTTTCTACCAATCAATCAAACTTTACATAATGAATTTTTTTGATTTTTTTCTTTTTTTAAAGATCGGATGCAGCCCAGAAAAATTTTTTTACGGTTTTCGCCAACCTCCCCCCACCCCTCCCCATGTTATTACTTGTTTTTTTGTCAGGTCCCCTCCCCTTTTTCAGGTCTTACCGAGCCTATCCCATGCATGCTCCCGAACCTTTTTTGAACCGGAATTTCACAGTTTCTTTGCAAAAAATTGCCTTTTTCTCTCACCAATTTGCTGTAATCAATCTCACAAACCTTCTCTGAACACTGACCATCTATCTGACTCACTGAGATTGGAAAACTAGAAGGGACCAGTTGGGGAATCTTGAAAGATCAGGGCGTCGTCGTCGAAGGCCCTTTAGGCGATACTCACGTGTTTGGTCGAGTCCAACCCACGAGAACAGCCACACCCAACCCGGTTCTTTTCCGTTTCGTTCCCCGCTTTTTTTTTTGATTCCTTTTTGACGTCGGGTGGGCGACAGTCACACACGCACGGCTACTATTATTCCGATTGGTCTGTCTGGCGTCGAAACTTTTCTTTTTTGTGTCCTTGCCTTGGGATTGGTGGGGCTATATAAGAGGACGGGACCTGTTTGGGATGTTGGGTTTTGGGTAGTTTGTTTTTTTTTTCGTTTTCTTGAAGGTTTTTTCAAAAGCTATAGGGCTTTATTCTATGATGGGCTTGCCAAAAAATAGACTTTTTTCCAAAATTAGATTTATAGCGGTAAAGTAGGTTTGAAAAAAAAAACTTGCAAAATAAATCTGGCTTTTTTTTGGATCTTTCGAAAATATTTTCTCAAGCTATAAGTAGGGTCCGCAAGCCATTTCTTCAAAACGATCCAAAAAATATGTTTTTCACACTGTTCGATAGAGGAGACTGTCCATTTTCATAATCCGTTTAGTTTTTGAAAAAAGGTCCACTAAGAAAAAAGTTATGGCCAGAAAACTAGCGCGCGCGGCGTACAACTGGAGGCAAAATCTCACGGTTTACCCGCTGCCGCACGCTTTCTTTTTAAATGTTTTTGCGCATTTCTGGACCGCTTTTTAAATCGGTTTTCTGTTCTGAGAGGTTGTCCGGACTGAGCCTCATGTTTTTGGTATGAATCTTTTGTACAATCCTCATAAGAATTTTTGATAAAATATCAAAAAACTACTTAGAAAAAAGGTCAGAAGGAATTTTCAGCTTATTTTTCTTTTTTCTACTCAGAAAAATTATTATCATTCGATTTAGAAAAAAGAAAAAATGAAAAATAATGTTAATTCGAAATAAAACAGGAAAAAGTGCAATTTGACTCCGAAAAACGGCTCCTGCAACATTTAAAATGGCGCATTGGTGTGTTTGACGCAAACACAGCTACGAATGCTTGCACGAATTCTTCCAAAAATTTCAAAAAAAGTTGCCATTTTTTTCGAGGTTTTTCAAAGCCGTTATTTTTTTCGCGTCGTTAGATTTTTTTCATAATTTTTTTTCATTGATAGAGTTTTTGAACGCTTAATAACATAATCAAAAAAATATAGACGCGATCCTATTCTCTCATGCGTCAACGAGGCAGGCGAAAAAAAGGAGGTTTTGGTAAAATTCAAATATAATTTAATTCGCTGTCCCAATAATTAATTTCATTCTAAATTTTTTTATTTTTTTGAACACATTGTGAGTTTTTTTAAATCAAATAAAAAGTATACCATGTCGCTGAAATTTTTTTCGCATTTCAGCTTCAAAGTTTGGTGTCACTTTACAAGCTTCGATTTTTCGCGTCGTTAGATTTTTTTAAATTTTTTTATTCAAAAAAATAAAGAAAGTGTTAATGTATAACATACTCAAAATTCGGAAGCGTTCCTCACTTGGTTTTCAGAAACGCGACGATTTTTGTGAAACTTGTCAGTTTTTTTCGTGTTAAATCTTACTTTTTTTCGCTTATTTTTTTGAAAAAAATACATAGTTTTAAAAAAATATTCAGTCTTGTAGAGCGTTGTCGATTACATAGATTAACAGAAACAGTTCCTTTTTAAAGTGGGCCTTTAGCTAGTATAAACGCCTCAAAACCGTTTCTGCAACAAAAAAATCGTCATTTTGGTGGCATGAAGGGGCGGGGCTTTGCGCCCCCTAGCTATAAGGCTGTATTTCAAGTTGGTGCTGCGAGAGCCTATACTTTTTTTTTTGATTTTTTTCAAACCTTTTGCTAAATACTTTTTGTATCTAATAATAATATTTTTAAAGCTATGAATTTTGGTCTATGTTTTTTTTGTCGAAATCTGAACCTTTTTTTTGAATTATTAAACTCATCTGGCCTTCAATTTATGCAAAAAGAAAAAAAACGAAAAAATCTGAAAAATTCATTAACTTTGTCCATGCTTAGGGTCCGCAAGCCATTTCTTCAGAACGATTCAAAAAATATGTTTTTCACATTTTTTGATAGAGGAGACTGTTCAATTTCATAATCCGTTTAGTTTTTGAAAAAAGCTCCACTAAGAAAAAAGTTATGGCCAAAAAACGAGCGCGCGCGGCGTACAACTGGAGGCAAAAATCTCACGGTTTACCCGCTGCCGCACGCTTTCTTTTTAAATGTTTTTTTGCGCGTTTCTGGACCGTTTTTTTAAATCGGTTTTCTGTTCTGAGAGGTTGTCCGAACTGCGCTTCATGTTTTGGTATGAATATTTTGTACAATCCTCATAAGAATTTTTGATAAAATATCAAAAAACTACCTAGAAAAAAGGTCAAAGGGATTTTTCAGCTTATTTTTCTTTTTTCTGCTTAGAAAAACTATTATCATTCGATTTGGGAAAAAGAAAAAATGAAAAATAATGTTATTTCGAAATAAAACAGGAAAAAGTGCAATTTGACTCCGAAAAACGGCTCCTGCGACATTTAAAAGGGCGCTTCGGCGTGTTTGACGCAAACACTGCTACGGACGCTTGCACGAAATCTTCCGAAATTTCAAAAAAAATTGCCATTTTTTCGAGGTTTTCAAAGCCGTTATTTTTTTCGCGTCGATCGATTTTTTTCATAATTTTTTCATTGATAGAGTTTTGAACGCTTAATAACCTGATCAAAAGTATAGACGCGATCCTATTCTCTCATGCGTCAACGAGGCAGGCGAAAAAAGGAGGTTTTGGTAAAACTCAAATATAATTTGATTCGCTGTCCCAATAATTAATTTCATTCTAAATTTTTATTTTTGAACACATTGTGAGTTTTTAAATCAAATAAAAAAAGTATACCATGTCGCTGAAATTTTTTCGCATTTCTGCTTCAAAGTTTGGTGTCACTTTACAAGCTTTAATATTTTTTTTCGCGTCGGTAGATTTTTTTCATTTTCACTCAAAAAAATAAAGAAAGTGTTAATGTATAACATACTTAAAAATTTAGAAGCGTTCCTCACTTGGTTTTCTGAAACGCGACGATTTTTGTGAAACTTGTCAGTTTTTTTCGTGTTAAATCTTACTTTTTTTCGCTTATTTTTTTGAAAAAAATACATAGTTTAAAAAAATATTCAGTCTTGTAGAGCGTTGTCGATTACATAGATTAACAGAAACAGTTAATTTTTTTAAAGTGGGACTTTAGCTAGTATAAACGCCTCAAAACCGTTTTTGCAACAAAAAAATCGTCATTTTGGTGGCGTGAAGGGGCGGGGCTTTGCGCCCCCTATCCATGCTCCCTTAAAACTACAGAAAGTTCTTTTGAAGAAGAAGCTGAGTTATATCGATTTCCTAAAGAAAAATCTCTGACTAGAGTGTTTCTTCTTTATCACAGGATATTCTCATTCTTAACCTCTTGATAAGAAACCGAGAAAGAGAAAAACGAATGTTAAATTGAAGATTTAGGTCTTTTTTCTTGGCCCTCAGCCAACCTAGAAATTTGAATTTTTAATCCATCTTTTCAAATTAATTGATAGGAACACTAAGAATAACTGACGAGATAAACGCGAGCTCGGTGGCGGTACATTGACGAACTCGCAAAAATGTCGCTTTTTTCTAGGCGCGATCCCGCATTTCTCTCGGCGCGACCTCGCATTTTTCTCGGCGCCATTTCGCATTTATCTTGCATTTCGGAAATTTTCAAATTGCGAGAGAAATGCGAGCTCGCGCCTAGAAAAGTGCGAGCTGGCGCCCAGAAAAATGCGAGACCGGCGCGAGAAAAAAAGCGAGATGTTTGCGAGCTCGTCAATGTACCGCCAGTGTCTCGCATTTATCTCGGCAGTTATTCTTAGTGAAGTCAAAACTAACTCATATTAGTGACTTACCAGGAAAGGTCTTAGTTCACAGTGGGACTTCTGAATGAGATTTTCTAGATGTAGTTTTTCATGCTGATTCCAAATCAGGTCTCAAATGTTGCCGAATACGACTGTGAAAAAAAGTTAGGGACTTTTAGGAGACCATTTCCTGGTTAGCTTTCAAGTTTTTTTAGTGTTTTTCAAATGTACTATCAATGAAATATCTATTCTGAAAAAAATCTAAAAAAACTTATTTTTTTCAAATTGAGTGAAAAAAATTTCATATTTTGTGAAGTTCTAAATTCAAATTTCCAGCTAAATTGATCCTTCCCAAGTCCGAAATTACAGCTTATCAGTAGCTTTGGAAACTCTGAAAAAAGTTTTTTTTTCCAGTATTTTCGATGTTTCATGAATTTTCGTTACTCAAAAAAACATAATTCATCGCTCAATCAATAAAATTATTTTCAATGCCAGTATATACCATATAAAGCTACTTTGCATCATTCCAGTTGGTCTGTGTAGCGTATAATGTTTTTTTTTTCTTTTCGTCCTTTGGATCGCCTATATAAGCGGACTGGATCGAATGTTGGATTGGATCGGATCTTTTCTTCTTTTTGTATTGATAATATTCTTCTTATTTCTTGTTCGTGAATGGAGCGTTCTAAGAAAACTGGACTAAAAATGTATGAAACTAAATAAAAGTCACATTCCTACTGGAATTTGAAGGTTCCTCATCGCAAACTTAACCTTTTCCCATTTAAAAACATGACTCAACACAAAAATTCCGTCTTTTCTTGTATCAGTTTTTAGTCAAATCGGTGTATGTTTGCTTTCTGACCCATCTTCTCAATAGCCTTCCGAGATTTCTTCGAGAATTGATAAGAATGAAAGAAAACAGCCATTTGTTTGTCTTCGTCTAACTTTTGAACGCGTGGGCGTTTCTTCTCGTTTCGAAATGGGTTTTTTTTTTCGTCCACATTCAGTTGCAATTTGATTTCCTTTTCTTCGTCATCAATTGAACATTCCTATCGTTCTTTTCTGCCATTTTATAATGGAATTTTTCGAAGTGATCAAAAATGGTTTTGAAAGAGAATTTCTGTTAGTTTTTCTTGTTCAATATTTTTTAGAACAGCTGAAAGTTATCTTCTCAATTCACCCATGTTTTGAAGGGTTTCTAAATTTTTTCTTGAGTGAGTTTAAACTGAGAAAAGTTTAGGGGTCCCTATAGGGGGACAAATGTGCGGGGGCCCCTTACTCAACCCCTATCTGGCCCCGGAAATCTGGTTTAGGGGCCCCTATAGGGGGAAGGGTCGAATTTTCACTGAAATTCGCATTATCAAAAGGCGTTTAGCTGATTTAAAAAAAAAGTTTACCCCCCATAGGGGCCCCGAATCGTATAGGGGTGTTCAAGAAAAGCCCTGAGGCCCCTATCGGAGCCCTTAACATTTTCCCCCTATAGGGGCCCCTATTTTACCCCTATCGGGGCCCCGAATCGTTTAAGGGGTTCAAGGAATCCCCTGAGGCTCTTATCTATTTTTTTCGCTTTTTAGATTTTAAGTTTTTGAAAAAACGAGCTTTTTTTTACACCTTCTCTTTTTTATTGTTCAATATCTTTCATGCTCTAGAATCAGTTTTTCGCTCTCCAAATGAATCTTTCGCTGTCCTTTGTCCTAGGATTGATCATTTTTCAGGCTTTCCGATGCACAGAATGTCGAACAATTCGCGAATCGTCCCAATGCAACTGATGCGAGATCGGAGCGTCGACGATTTCAATGACCAGGTCGTCGGAATGTTGGATGAGGTCGAGAGAAGAGTCGAGCAATTGAGGTTTCCGATCAGAAAAATTATAAATTTGAGCTTATTTTAATGTTGATGCTCCATGTAAAAGTCTAAGAAACCTATTTAGAAGGAAAAAAAGTTCCAAGAAAAAATCTGGGAAAATTTTTAATGGCCACTATAGAGGCTCGCCAAGGACTACTTGGAGAGGACACTAAAGTGGCCTCTATAGTGACCTCTATACACCTCTATAGTGACCACTATTTTCCGTTTTAGTGGCCAGTTAAGTAGTTTTTCATCCAGTATTCCTTCCAATAACTCTGATAGTTTTAAAACAAACAGATTGGACCAGTTATGTTGATCCATTGACCCCTAAAGTGGTCACTAAGATTTTTAGTGGTCTAGTAGTAGTACTTAGACCTCTATAGTGGCCACTAACTTTTGACCCCTTAAGGGCCCACTAAATTAACTACTATAGTGGTCATGAACACGTCAAAACCCTATAGTGGCCACTAAAAAGTTTCACAGAACTTTTAAAAATCAGATTTTTTGAGATTTACGTTTCTTTTAAGTATAGGATAGGGTAAAAAACGAGTAAAAATATTTTTTTAAAATTCTATCAGACTCGAAAAAGTAAAAGAATTTCAGGGAAGCCGCCAGTCTCCTGGAACAAGAAAAAGACCTGATTCTGGACACCCTGAATAATGTCGTGGTCAACACTGATTTATTACGTCTTGGCCAAGGTTTCTATTTTATTCATTTTTGTTTTTGTGTTAAGTTTGATTTTTCAGGCGATCGGGAAGATATCAACGCGACGACGAATCGATTGGCTCAAAGAACGAAAGCTGTTGAGGTGATTTTTTTAGACTTTTTTTCGTATTTCTTTCAAAAAAATAAAAAAATCTCGTTTTCTATAACTTTTGCGAGAAAAAAATGTTCCTTATTCAATTTTAAACGAAGCTCCACTTGACGATAGTGCGCTGGAGCGAAGTTGGGTGACTTTTCAAGCATGAATAATACATTTTCCTTTGTTTTCTTCTGTAGCTTTCCCTGTGGATTTTTGAAAGGCTTCTATGATAAAAAGTTTCGAGAAACTTCATTCATTTTTTATTACGATGTTCCACTTGACGACTTTGCGATGGAGCAAATTTTCAGCGAAACGTGATTTGTTTCTTACTGAATTGTTTTCAACTTGTGCCTTTTGAGGTACTTCAAAGGTTTTTTTTAAATCTCTTCTTGGCTACTGCGGCCAATATTATCACGATTCAAGCTTAAAAAATATTTATTTTTGACTGAAATATTTTTCTTTTGTTTTTCAAGCTTCCTGAATTATTTTTGACTCGGTTAAGAATTTTTTTCTCATTTTCAAGTAATATAAAAACTTCTTCAGGTTGTCGTGAACACTCCGAGAAGCGCCGAGCAACAAAAAGCCTTGTCTTCAGTTAATCAGCTGGTTGACGGAATCGTTCAGAAGATGACCAATGACCTCAACAGCAGCAAGGATGTCCGTATCATGAAAACTTGAAAGCGACTTTTTAGGGGACAAAATAGGGCTTCTTTAGGGAACTTAAGTTTAGGTGCTTTTCGACATTTCAATGATTTTTTACAAATACGCATAAAATCCATTTTTAAACAACAAATGACGAAAAAATCTTGCGAATAGTAATTTTTAGAGTTACGTGAAAGAAAGTTTTTTTTTCTTATCTTTCTGTTTCAATTGAGGAACAATAAAATCAATCTCTAATTTATTCAATTTCTCCATTTTTATCCTGGTAATCTCCAAATTTTAATTTATTCATTAGGAGTAAACTTTTGGCCGCACGTAGAATGACTCAACTGGCTCGTTTTTCTCACCTGAAAGAGGAACTTTGAGTAATGAACTTGTTAGTGCGCCCGACCTGAAGCGACTTCTTCACAATGTAACAGAATGCTACTGCGCGTAAGTTGTTTAGTGTCGGGCGCGTTCCACAAAAAATGCTTCACAGCTGCTCCGAATGAGCCGTTCTCTGTTGAGGGTCAAGAATATAAAAATCCAGACTGCAACTTTACAAAAAAATGAAAATGTTCAGATCTGCAATCGGTACCTCAACGCTTGCGATCCTGAAGAACGAGGCCCGATTGATCAGAAATTCCAAGCACAGGTTTGTTTCAGAAATACCCCCCCGGTCAATTCGAAACTTTTTTTCAAGAGTTTCCAAGAAAAGGGCATGAAAACATGTATGAAAATCCAGAAAAAAAGCTTGTGAAAAAGCGGGACAAAGCTCTAAGAAGACTTCGAAAAGTCTCCAAGAGACCTCAAAAAAACGTCTCTGAGACGCATAGAAAAAATAAATTAGAAATATTGACAAGGTCTTCGAAAAGACATCAAAAAAATCTTTTGTCTACAGAAAAAAAAATTCATCTTCTTTTTCCGTTGTTTGATGCACAGAAAGAGGAAATTTTAAACTTTTTTGAAGCTCTTGGTAGTTTGGGTTATCAACCTTCAGATAACTTTTGTTTTCGGCCTTTTCTTCAAAAATTTCCCTCTTGCATTCACTTTCCAGTACTGAATTCCTGTCATTTCCAGATCATCGAATGCACCGCCGATGATCAGAAGAAGATCAGGAAGAAGCTCAATCAGCTCATCAGCCAAATCGAAAGAGCCGAACGTCAATGTATCCCCCAATGGTATAATAATTAGAAACAAACATCAATCATTTTTCCTTGAAATTTCACGGTTTCCTTCCTTTTGTTCTCATTTCCATTGCATTGTCAGTTCATTTCATGTACCTTTTATTGAACATTTCAATCCGGATCACTTGTAAATTTGACGTGTGTACAATTTTATGAAACAAACATGTTAATAAAGCTGAAAAAAAGTTGGATACATTTTTTTGTTTGTTAAATGTCGGCCGTTCTTCGTACTTTGATCTCCCCGGCTTCTGGGACGGATAGTACCAACTGAAAGTTTTTTTAGATAAAAAAAGCAAATTCGAGTTGGAATGATATTCTCTTAATAGAATCTTCACCATTATTGTAAAAATTATTAAAAGGACAAAATTTATGATGAATGGGCTTTCGAAAAATTTAAAGAAGCAGGGGCTGATTTCATAAGGGTCTCGAGGCGAAGAGCCGTTTCAAGCTTGAATCACTTCGTGCAAGTCTCCTGCGCCTTTAATCAATGTAGCTGATTCATCAAAAAAGGGTCCTGACACGGGTCTTAAAAAGACTTTTTCCTGAGTAGTTTAAAGGAGCATAGGCTGATTTCATAAGGGTCTCGAGACGAAGAGCAGTTTCAGCCTTGAATTACGTCATGCAAGCCTCCTGCGCCTTTAATTACACCTTGCAAGACTAATACAGTTAATTAATCAAAAAAACGGGTCCTGACACGATAAGAAAAAAGATATTGCCTGAGTGGCGGAGAGCGCAGAAAGGCCACGCCCCCTTAGTGTCACAAGCTAGCCGTGAATCAAAAGTATACATTGAAAACTCAAAATCCATTCAAAAAAGAGCCTTACCGACTCTCCATCCACTGAAAGTTGTGCAATAAATCGCCGAAATCAGGACGATTAACAGCAGAAGAAGAAGCAGGAAGAATCGCATTCTGAACAGAAGAAACGAACAATTCAAAGTTGTGGAGAAACCAATGAGGATTGTCGAATGGGAAAAATGGGATTGAATGAGCGGTGTGGGCCAAGGTCGCCGCAAAAGTTTTGGGACGACCAATTGGCGCCCGAAATCATTGCATTTTTGACACTATTTCGGTTGGATACACCTTTGGAAGCTTGATTATAACTATTTCTGGTGGTTGGAAAAATTCCAATGAGAAACTCGTGAAATTTAAATTAAAAACAGGCTCTAAAATGTTGATTTATGACGAAAATCCAATGAAAATGCTTATAAATAAAAAAATAAGCTTTGAGCCAAAAATTTAGAGAATCAATGAAGTTAAAAAAAAATGAGTTAGGCCTTTTTTCGAACTCTCTGTTATAAACTTGAAACTCAACGAGTTTAGAGTTATAAAACAGAAAAGTGGAAAGAACCCGATTAAAGACGTTCAAAGGTAGAGAAGGATCTTTTCAATCGCGACGATTTACGAGTGAGAAAACGCTTTTTTTCACCGCCTTTGATTGAAGATGAGGCCGTCGAGACGATGGGAACGTTGAAGTTTTTTGAAGTCCTTGAAAGTTCGTTTCCTTTCGAAATCAGTAAAATAAAACTTTGAGGTCGATGCGAGAAATTTTGTTATTACTGTATGGGAATGTGACGCAAGCCTGACATGTATGCACACCAGACATTTTGATCAACGCGCATAATTCCAAAAAAATTTTTTTTTATTTTTTTTTCAATTTTTTTCGATTAAAACTGTGGTTTATGTTTATTTTTTTAATAAATTATTATAGTATTCAAAGTTGCTCATTGCTCCCTTTGATAATTATTTCTCCTGAAGGCGTTTTGGTATTATGTTTCACCGACTGTTTATTTGCGTTGTTGCAATTTTTTTATTGAGATAAACTTTGGTTTTTCTTTTTTTATTCCTTCGTTTCATAATTTTCTCTAATATATTACAGGTTTCTTCAAATGAATTTTCATCGATTTCATGGGCCTGTTTCGGATCGTTTTGACCGCTTTTGGATGAAGTTCGACCTGAAAATTTGAAGGTATTCGGTTTTTTTATGTCTGTAACTTCCATTAAAGGCGATTTTTTCGAGTTAAATTCAATTGCTTTGGTTTTTTTTCTCAGACAGATGACAGAGTGAAGAAAAAAATTATGTCGCATCTGAAGCCACGAAAAACCAAAAATTACCCTCTAACCTAGTCAAAAAAAAAAGAGGCTGAAAATTTCAAATCTCTGATTTTCATTTTGTTCTGTGTTCCCTTCGAATATGCAGACAGAAAACGAAGAAAAAAGACCCGAGGCTATTCCAATTTCAAGGCGTCTTTGCAAACAAGAGAACCGGGAAAAAAAGGCTGGGAAATTAAAAGAAATATTTGTTGCACTCGACGTGAAATTGAGGTTCTTCTCAACGGAAGATGTCGCGAATCTCTTTTTTTCCGAACTTTTTTATTTTCAACATTTTTTTAAAAATAAAAAAATGGGAACTATAAGAATAGGAACTTTGGAAAAGTTAAGAGAAAAAGTTAAAAAAAATTTTTTAATTTACCTAAAATTAGACTTTTTTTCTTTCGTAAGATGCGCCTCACTGGTCAATTTTTTTTTGAAAACTAACTTTTTTTGAAACTTTCGTTCGTGGAAACCACAAGATTTTTTTGAATTTTTTTCGATTTTTTTGATAGGGCTTCAACTAGACAAAAAAATCAAGGTAATGTATCTATTAGACTCAAATTAATAATTTTTCTTTTTTCATGGTTTTTTTTAAGTCCAACACTGAAATTGAAGACTTCAATAACACAGAAAACATTTTTGAAAAAATAAAAAAAATTTCGGCTGAAAATTAAGAATTTTCCCAATATATCAATATCATCCTCAGAATATTGCGATTTCCCACTCGAGACTTAAACTTTTTGTTTTCTTCTAAAGACCTCGCGATATCAAATATAAATATATCGAGTAGTTTGAGGACTACAATGGACGGAGAATGCTAATAAGAGCGAAAGATGTCTTGTTTTTCTTCTCGTTTTATTGGAAGTGAGGCCAATTTTTGGAATATTCACTCTTTTCTCTCCGGATTTTCGGCTATTTTTATTAAGGTTTTGCGATTTTTGAATGTCTCCAAGGTAGAAAAAAAGTTAAAGAAAAGTTTTTTTCTATCTAAAATTTTGAATTCTTCCTTCCAATTTTCCATTTTTTTAAAAACTATTTTTTTCAGGTCTGATAGTGAAAATGAAGATTTTTGAAGCTTCTAGGATCATTGTTAGGCTTAAAAAACAGTATAGAGAGTAAATCGCCATGAAGAGAGGGCAGAGAAAAAGAGAATGTCTCTACTTCTCTGGCGCCTCTTCATACCGTTGATCTCTCGTTTCTCTTGTTTTCGAGACAAAAAAAACATGTTGCAATTTTTTGGAAAATCGAGAAGAATTCTTCCAAATTGGCAATATTTGGTACCATTTTTTTCAAAATAATCGTCTGTCCTCATGTTTCTCTCTTGGATTTTGTTGTCCGAAACGCTTTTCTAAAAAATGTCAAATTTTATCTTTTTTTTTGTCCATGTGGCGTGAATAATTATTTCAAATGCTCTGATTCTTCCTACTATTAATTTGAAATGTTTTTTTCGCTTCAAATTTCTTTATCTTCGCAATAGAGCACAGAAGACGCAAATTTTCAGGCTTAAATTTTTTTAGAAATGCATGGGCCATTTGTATCTTAAATATATTATTATAGTTTTTAGACCCTGTTATCATGTACCAATCTACTTTTTGAAGTCTCAAAAATCACTTCCTTCTGGTATCTTTTCTTCGAAATAATATTGTTTCAAAGAAAAAAAAGGTGGTAGAAGGGAATTATTATGTTTCATTGCAGTTTCTCAGGGCGGCAATTTTCAAAACGGCCATTTTTGTCTTTCCAGAAAATGATATTGCAATTTTCTAGCTTTTCCCATATGGTAACTATCACCCCCAAACGAAAGTATTGTCGAAATCCAGATTTTCCAAGCTGTTCATTCTCTTTAAAACGAAAAAGACTCGTTTCAAAATACCTAAATTGATTGAGATAGATTTAGCCAATTTCTGCATTTATATATTTAATGTAAAACTCATTTCGAACTTCTCCTGGGGATTTTTAAAGGCGCATGGACTGGTTTCATTAAGGTCTTGAGACTTAAAGTCGTTCTAAGTGTTATTTGGAGAGGTTTTCGATCAAAATAAAGCTATAATTTGTGTATACCCTTTGGAGTTTTGTCTATGGAACATGACAGACTCTATCCGGATTTTTTTTTTTCGTTTCCAAGCCCGTATCTCAGGCTTAGAAAAGGGCGCTAAAAGGCAGCAAAAAGAGTCCCTTTATCGAGAAAAACTCAAGTAATGGATGAAAAGGGAGTGGTTGAAAAAAATGCTCCATACGAGCCGTTAAAACGGCGCAAAAAGGCAGCAAAAAAGAAGCCTCTGTCATCCTAAACGGAACATTTCTATGGACCCTTTTTCCATCCTTTCCGACTTTGCCTATGATGGCAAGGAAATCTGAATTTTCTCCATAGAGCCTAAAGTATTCCATTCATAAGGTTCTGAAATCTCTTTGATTTTCTCAAATCTTTTGTTTCTGACAGTTAAAAATACTTTTTCTATGAAGCATAGAAGAACGTTTCGAACCTAAAAATTAAGCCACTTCAGTAGAATACATCCCCGATCCGGACCCCCCTCCTCTGTGATTCCCCATTCCCCATCTTTTTTTTAGGCCCCCGTTCATTTTCTCTGCAAGCTCTGTTACGGCTTTTGTGACAGTTTTGGCCGCTTCTTGTTGAGAAGTTTTTTTTCAGCATGATTTCGTGCTTTTTCGGCCGTCACTACCATTTGTTGCATTTTCTGAGGGCGTCCGGAACGGGGGCCTTAAAACAAAGATGGGGGAGATTCACAGAAGGGGGGTCCGGAACGAAGGCGTCCGGATCGGGGACATACTCTACTCCCTTCGGCAAAAAATCTGAACTTTCTCCAAACAGCCTAAAATATTCCATTTCTAAGGCTGAATTCCTGAGATCTCTTCGATATTCTCCTCAAGTTCAAGTCCTTTCTTTCAGACAATTATTT